CGTGATGGTTGTGGAGCATTTGTATTTGGATGTGGCAGATGTGTCCCTCAATTCGGTGGTGGGATTTACCCAGAATCACACCATGAATGTGAGAGGGTCGATTGGGGAACAACCGATTGTGGTGTTGATAGATAGCGCAACCACACATAACTTTATCTCAAATTATGTCGTAAAGAGGCTAGGGTTGGAGCTGGTGACTACAAGGAGCTTCGACGTCAAGGACAGGGAAGTTGAATAAAAGTAGGGGAACTTGGAAGGGGTTGGTTTTGACACTGCATGACCTACGGGTGATGGGGGACTTCCTTCCTCTAGATTTGGGTACAAATGTAATTTTGGGGATGAAGTGACTGCGAATTCTTGGGGTGACGAAGGTGGATTGGAAGTCCCTGACGATGGAGTTCCAAGTGGAGGGTAGGAAGGTGTTGTTGAGAGGAGATGTTAGTTTATGAAAAATTGTTGTGTTGCTCAAATCCATGGTTAAGCCGATTCGAGGAGTAGGACTGGGCTACTTGATGGAGTTGCAGAGCATTGAAGAGATTCAAGATTCATAGTAGGCAGAGTTTCTTGAAGGAGTCCAACAAGTTTACTGATATATTCCAAAAACCAAGCAGGTTACCTCTCTCGAGGGAGCACGAGCACGCTATTAAATTAAAGGGTGGTGTTTCCCCCATCATTGTCAGGCCATACAATTACCCTAGATTCAGAAGGATGAGATAGAGAAGTTGATTCGAGAGATGCTCGAGGTTGGGATTATCAGGCCTAGTGTGAGCCGTTTCTCCAGTTCAGTCCAGTTTTGTTGGTGAAGAAAGAAGATGGACGTTGTAGATTCTGCGTGGACTACTGGGCTTTGAACAAGGAGACAGTGTTGGGCAAGTTTCCTATTCCTATGATTGATGAGTTACTGGATGAACTTTATGAGAGTTATTTTTTCAAAAATTGATCTTAAATTGGGATACCACCAGATCATGATGAATCTAACGAATGTGTACAAGACAACGTTCATGACACAACAATGACATTATGAGTTCTTAGTGATGCCGTTTGGACTCCAACGCTCCGACGACATTTCAGTCCCCTTATGAATAGGTTTTTTCAACTTTATCTCCGAAAATTTATTTTGATCTTCTTTAATGACATTCTGATATATCGTCGTACAAAGACTGAGCATGTGGGGCACCTAAGGATAGTCTTGGAGACGTTGATGGAGCACTAGTTGTATGACAACTTGAAGAAATCTTCCTTTGCACAGTTATAGGTGGAGTACCTAGGACATGTGGTGAGCAAAATGAGGTCAACAGTGGATCAATCCAAGATATAGACTATGGTGGCTTAACCCTTACCAAGGAGTTTGAAGGAGTTGAGGATTCTTTGGTCTGACTGGTTACTACCAAAAGTTCGTGAGAGGATATTGCACGATGGCATGATCACTGACAAAATAATTAAAGAAAGACTGTTTTAAATGGAGGGAAGCAACAACACAGACATTTGAACATCTGAAGAAAATCATGACCAGTATCCCAACACTAGCACTTCTAGATTTCTGTAAATCATTTGTGGTGGAAACAAATGTGTCAGGGTACGAGTTCGGAGCAGTGCTCATGTAGGACCAACGGTCGATTGCCTACTTCAGATAGGTTCTTACGGCCAGAGGGAGGCTAAAGTCAGTATATGAACGGGAATTGTTGATGATTGCCTTGGCCATTCAGAAGTGACGGCTCTATCTGTTGGGATGATATTTTTTGGTCAATACAAATTAGAGGAATCTAATGTATCTTCTAGAGCACCTGATGGTGACTGAGATGGCTATCCAAGCTACTGAGATATGGCTTCGAAATTCAGTATCGTCCAAGATTGGAGAACAGGACAACCGATGCACTCTCGAGAAAGGTGGAGGAACCCCAACTAATGGCCCTATCAGTACCCTTGGTCCTAGAGTGGGAAGCTTTGAGACAGGAGAGCGAACATGATGAGGAGCTAAGGAAGATAAGGGTCGAGCTACTACATGATTCGAATATTCATCGAGGATATGTATTAAGGATGCAGTAGCTGCTCCACCATGGGGAATTCGTGCTACCCAAGGCATCAAAATATATTCCCAGATTGTTACAGGATTTTCATGGCAGTGCGATCGGGGGATACTCGGGGGTGCAAAAGACCTCCAGTCATTATTGGGTGGGGATGTGCAGATACGTGAATGACATTGTGGCAAAATGCGATGTGTGTTAGCGGCACAAGTACTTGACCACGACACCGGAAGGGTTACTAAAATCGTTAGCATTACGAGGGAAGGTTTGGGAAGAAGTGACGATGAATTTTATCGAGGGGTTGCCATGGTCAGAAGGTTCACAATGATCATGGTGGTCGTGGATCGTCCGAGTAAGTATGCACATTTTATTCCCTTAACGACATCCCTACACTGCGGTCTCATTCGCGATAGTGTTTATCCGAGAAGCGGTCCTTTTGCACGAAATGCCAGAATCGATTGTATCAGATAGAGACAAGGTGTTCCTCAGCCACTTTTGGAAGGAGCTATTCAGGTTGCAAGGGATAGTCCTTAAAAGAAGCACCCGCATCATACCCAGACCGATGGACATATGGAGGTGGTTAACTGAGTGTGGAGACATACCTACATTATTTTGTATCCGATACACCGAAGCTATTGACCAAGTAAATTGCGTGGGCCGAATATTGATATAACACTTTATACCATACCGCAACACAGACCACACCTTTTAAGACATTGTATGGGCGAGATCCACTTCACTTGATACATTACGAGCATAACGCCATAGCGGTATCCAGTGTCGATCAATATTTAGAGAAAGGAACATGATACTAGCAAAGCTCAAGGAACATTTACTGAGAGCTCAAAAGGAAAGCAAATGAGCACATGAGAGAGGTGCAATTTGAATCAGAGGACATGGTATACTTGAAACTGAGGCCCTACCGATAGAAGACATTGGCCATGAGGAAAAACGAGAAACTTTCATCACGATACTTTGGACCTTGTGAGGTTATGACACACATCGGTACGCTAGCTTACCGTTTGAGGTTACCACCATCCTCCGCTCTACACCCGGTTTTCCATGTATCACAGCTGAGACGTGCGATTGAAGATCATACACCCTCGTCTACACTACCTCCGACGCTGACAAAGGACTTGGAGGTGATTCTGGAGCCTCAAGAAATCGAAGGAGGGCGCCGAGGAGTAGGGGGAGCAAAGGAGTGTAAAGGACAGACTATGAAGCAATGTGGAAGCCTTACAAGGTGATCTACAAGCAGTTTCCATCCTTCCAACTTGAGGAAATGACACTTCTCTGGGAGGGGAGTATTGTTAACGCCCGTAACAAGACCGGTCCCCCCTGGACTGGTAAAATGCCACCCAACCGACCTGCCACAACGACAGGCGGGTTGGTCCTTTTTGTGAGAAGGGGCGAGGTGGCCACTTGCTGCTGTAGAAGAAGGCATGGAGCAGGTGGGGTCCATGAGGGCCTTAATCCCATACTCGAGGAGAAGTTAAAAATGTTTGGAGGGAAAGTTGGAAATGTTGTGGGAGGATTCTATTAAGGGGAGAAGTTAGGGTTTGTTCCTTTTTATGCACGTTTTTGTTGGCTGCTGTGCTCTTTTCTTTTTGTGGTGTTCCTCACGACGTCTAGGGTTGTGGGAGAGACGATCTACCTCTCGAAAAGTATATCATCATCGTATTTTACTTATTTTCATTTGTTTTTTTATAAGAGCAGCTCTCATTTGAGTTTTTCCATCTATCTATTGCCGTTTCGTCGTTGTTGCTTGCTGATTTTTGGTTCCGGCGCATATCACTTTCATATTGCTTCTCTTTTCCTATCCAATATTACGGAGGGCTAGAGCCTTTTATTTGCTTACCTTTCATGTTAGTGAACAACTATATCTTTTTCATTTTTGAAGTTACTGGCCTGCCTGGATTAATTATACTTTATTAAGAATTGAATAAGTAACCAAAAAGGATGATTTTTCATTATGTGAAGTCAAAAACAACAACAACAAGCTTTTAGCCCGAAAAAGATGATCTTTCATGATGTTAAGTCAACAACAATAACGACCACGGCGACCCATGATGTGAAGTCATTGAATTTAATTTTGATGCTGCTTAGCACAGCCTCATTTAAATCAACCGGTATTGCTCCACGAGCCAGTCTACTATCTGCTCTTTTTTAAGCTTTCAAACAGTGCCTTTATTGCAATGCCAGTTGGTGGAGCAATTTCTACATCAGAATCTATTAAGAACTTTACGTTACAAGTAACAAATCCAAGTTCTCAAACGACTTATTGTCATTGGAGTAGCCGTTCTCTTCAGGGATTTTCAACTATTAAAGAAACTATCCTCCCTCTGATCCCACATAAGTTTTTTTTTTTCCATTTCTTGTGATCTCTTTCTCCATGAGGTTTGCTGTTATCCAGAAACTTTTTCATTTATTCGTTAATGTATAAAATCTTTAATTTTTTGACATGTCCAATCCAAGCACTTTGTTTGTTTTATTTCCAAAAGTTTCTTTAATGGCCTTGCCTTTGTTGACTATATCATAAAATAGTAGAAAAAATTAATCCATTGGTTTTTGGGCAAATGATTTAAATAACTACTTACCTATCTGGTCGTCACTGTTGATTTTTTGTTAATTTCTGCAATTGAATCTTAGTGTTCACCTTCATTTGATAGAACAACAATCTATGATTGACATTTGGAATAAGGAATATTTTGGTGGAACAATAGCTACTTTTTCTTACAAAAACATACATTTGGTTATGTTTATCATTTTCATGACAATTTTTCATGGAATTATTGGAATACTGGATTATTAAACTGCTAGCAGCATACTTATTCTTATGCGCTCATAACAAATATATTTATCGAAAAGCAAATGTTTGGTAGAATTTTGTACATCCTATCCAATTTCAGCGTTCCTTTGTTAATCAGTCGATGGTAATATCCATAACTTATTCTTGTTTTTTACTGAATTTTTCAGGGGAGATATATGAACATGCTGTTGTTTTGAGTGTCAAGACTGAAGACCAGGATGCCTTTGAGAGGGATTTCTTTCAATTAAAACCTTTTTATACTGATACATGGTGAGGTTTCCTGCTTTTTATTTGACTGTTATAAACATTTCTAAGCAGGGGTATTTACATACTTGCCACCCAATTCCTATGTTTTTATATGTATGAAAAAAGTAAAGTTTAGGTGTTAGATATGTAAATACATGGGAATTGAGTGGTATGTATGTAAATCTTCCTTCTAAGAATTGCTTGCTTGAAGCCAATTTCAACTTTGATGGGTCTAGACCTTTTAGGTATCTTGAATTGGCTACTAATTCTGCTATATAGCTCCTTAAAAATCTATTGGTGTTTTTTTTTATGAATTTAGATTTATTTTTTTAAACTGAATTATGATAAAAAACATTATTTGATTTCTTTCTACTGTTTAGGCAAGAAATCTTAAATATTAATGATTTTACATCATTAATAGTTACCTAATGACCAGTATGAGAAACTAGGAGCAAAACCCTAATGTCACAACCCCAGCTGGAAGTTTGAATTACCAAGGAGAAACATTTTCTTTAATAATCTTTTTTTTTACATAAATTGAAGTCCTCCAAAATATAGAAGAGTCATTCTATATGACAACATAATCTTTAGGATCCATCTACGCGAAAGAAGTTTTCCTTAAAAAAAAGTTTACAATTGGAGATATGAATTAATCTACTAGGTAAAATGTCTTTATATTATAATAATTCACATTTTTGTGATATTTTATAAAGTAGTAAATTTACAATTTTATAAAAAATCATAAACAAATTAGTAAAACGAGAAAATAAATAAGATATTTTTATTGTTATTTTTTATTTTTTTCATATAAAACTCCATCAGTGAAATTCTTTGTCTACATGAGTTTTAAAAATACACATTTCATAACCTTTTTCAATACCTGCCAAGAAATTAGACAATCATTTTCATTTTCATTTCTTTTTTATGTGCATGGATATGTTGTTTCCCTAGTTTGGACCATATAAGGGTGACTCCACCTTTAAGTATGCATATGCTCACCCACATTATATCTATTTATTTATTTAATATTTGCTTTAACTAATTTTAATGGAAAAATATAACATTTATATTTTAAAAGAAAATACTAAAAACAGTAAAAATATTTGCAAATGATTTTATAAATAAAAATAATTATTATAAAATAGAAATATGTTCACCCACCCGCTCAGTAGAATCGGTTGCCCTTTCTTTGGTGCACCTAATAGTAATAAATTGCATTTAATTAACTTTTATTTTCTTTTAATTTTGAATTATTTAGAATTTTTTTACTCATTTTCTTGCCTATCAATTTCAACCTCAATATCATATCTGTTGTTTTGACTGATAAATTCATATATATTTATAGAATATATATATATATATATATAGATGGACATTTAAATTACTTTTTCTCCTCTTAAGTTCCCAATTAAGTACTTTAACAACACCTCTTAATGTGAAGTTATTTCATTCGTTGATAGTAATACATATAATAATAATAATAATAATAAATAATCAATTTAACTTTCAATTTTTTGTTAAAGCTCCTAAAATTTCCTTTTTTATGCTTGAGCTTATAAATAAACCTAAGGTTCTTAAAGTTTACTTAAATTTTCACCTAATCAAATTAGCACTTACAGAATAAACATTTACCATTGTACAAAGATTCTTAGCTGCGAATTTGCTCTTAAATTTCTATTTTAGCCCCCTTATCAAATTCTAAAATAATTTCAGCTACAATTTCAGGAATTAAATGTTAAATTTTTCTTGATTTCAATCCAATTTATCTAGCAATAATTTTTTCTGGTAGAGTAAGAAGGAAATAATTAGAAACCAAATTTCGGGCTTCAAATTTCTTACATAAGGCTATAAAACTTCTGAAGTTCCTCGCTGCTTTGCCCTTTTTTTGTGCTTGGAGTACACATGACTTGCTTGAGCTTTTCTCAAGTTCGGAAAGCTATGCAAGTCTGGCTTCTCCCCTATCTTCCTTTTCAAGTTAGGTCACCTGCACGTCCAGTCTCCTCTCCCTTTTCCGCGCCATTTCTTTTTTCTTCCTACTCTAGCTTGCTGTCTTGCTTGCACAATCGAAGGAAACACAGCTCGGTCCCTCTTTTCCTCACTTCGACTGGCTCTCTCACTCACGCACTCTCAGCTTGGCTCACCGTCGCTCTCATTGTCTTGTGTGTGAAATGGAGTTACCCCATATGGTACTAGCTAGGGAACAATGTATCCGTGCTTGTAAAAAGAAAATATAAATGAAATTGATTGCTTACTTTTTTAATGGATTTTGAAAAATGTTATGTAAGTTGTATTTTTAGTATACCTACAGACGGTGACTCTCATTGACAAATATTTTATATGAAACAAATGATAATATTATCTTATTTATTTTCTCCTTTCACTGTTTTGTCTATAGCTTTTTATAAAACTCTAAATTTATTATTTTACTTTATAAAATGTCATAAAATATGCATTTTATAATTTGGAGATATTTTACTCGTTAAGTTGATTATCTCATGCCTCTAGTTGCTAAAATTTTCAATGAAATCTTATTTAGAGTAGATGGATTTTAGAGATTATGTTCATAGACGTCGAGGAGCCCAAGGAGATATGCACAACAATTTACTTTTTATATTTCCACGAGATCTAAATGCATTTTTTAAATTTAAGTTTGTTTATAGAAGGAATCTTTTATATTTTGAATGATTTATTTATAGTATTTTTTCCATTCGACTGTCCGTTTCTATGTTGATATTCCAAGTTCTTAGACCAGGTTGTGACAATACTAGTATCAGAGTCCAAGTATAAGATCGGTAGGAAGATGATCTTACTAAAAGAATCATTAGCAAAATCATTAATTATCATTAAGGAAGTTAAATAATAAATCTAATATTCATTATAATAATTGTGGAATTTTGATATATCTTGGCAATAAAAATTAATTAAGAGGATACAAATGGGAATACTAGAGAGACGAGAGCTGTTGAACAACAGAAGTTGGCGCCACTAGCACTTGCTAATACCCCATACAATAGTGCTAGTGTCTTTATGAATGTGTTTACTTTGATGATGGCTACAGTGACACGATTGATTCAGGGTTTTCGTGCCCAAATCGACGATAGTAGGGCAATGCCAATGGATGAGTATTTTAAACTTTTCTAGAATTTGAGATCGACACCCTTTTGAGGAACAAACGATAGTAGGGCAATGCCAATGGATGATAGGGCAATGCCAATGGATGAGTATTTTAAACTTATCTAGAATTTGAGATCGACACCCTTTTGAGGAACAAGAGAGCCAATGGAGACTGATAACTGACTGTTACGGATCGAAAAGATTATTGACAATATATCTTGTCCACAGAGGAGGAGGGTTACATTGACGACCTTCACTTTTGAGGGAGAAATAGAGAGTTGATGGCAAGAGCAACTACAAGAAAGGTTTGGTGGACGATTTAGCAGCTTGATTCAGTGAGAAAATTTTGTGAAAATCTTTTGTGACTAGTTTGCTCCTCTCTCAGCTAGGAGGCAGATGCAAGACAGATTCATTAGGTTGGTGCAAGGTGACCGCTACATCATGCGGTATGAGATTGAGTTTATGTTGCTTTTCCAATATGCACCACAACTAATCCTTAATACAAAATGAAAGTATCATTGCATCTTTTCTGGATTGAAAGATGTGATTAGAGAGTCTTTAGTCCCTTTGGGCATTGATGATTACTTGGTCTTGGTGGAGAGAGTGAGCATGATAGAGATTGATTTGCTGGTTATGCAGAGATGTAAAGATTTTTTGAGAAAGATAGTGGCACCATGATTTAATTTCTTGTGCGCGGTGTAGGAAAGCTCGAACAACACCTGTCACATACTTGTTATGCGTAGGTAATTAGAATTTTTTAACTTCATTAGGTGGTGCAAGGTTACCGCTCCATCATGCAGTATGAGGCTGAGTTCACGTTGCTTTTAAGATATACCGCAGTTAATCCTTAACGTGGAAGAAAAGTGTCACCGCTTCTTATCTGAATTGAGATTGTAACAAAGATGCTCATTTTTTTGCTAGGCTCGCTTTGGATAGGTCTTTCTTTTGGGACGCTCACACTTGTGACTCTAATTTTTTGAGCGTGGTTGAGGATGTTGCCAACCATGCTGATTCTTTTGTACCTTTGATTTTACTTTAATGCAAATGCACACTCTTCACGGATTGAAAGATGTGATCAGATAGTCTTTAATCCTTTTAGTCATTGATGATTATTTAGTATTGGTGTAGCAAGCGAGGATAGAGATTGATCTGTTGGTTAGACAGAGACAGAGAGATTTTTAGAAAAAGAAAGGACTGAGAATCCTTGTTTTATTTTCTCGGGGGGGCGGTGTAGGAATGTTCGAACGACACCTGCCGCGTAGTTGTCATGTGTAGGTAATTAGAGTTTTCTTAACTTAATGACTAAGTAAAAGATTATTATTATTACACCTAATCACTAGGGATGATTAAAAAAAAAAAAACGAAAAAGTGTTAGCACAAGTCTAGTGAGAAAAGCGCAAAGTAAGTTATTACTGAGTATGCTCTTTTGGACAGACTTTTAGTTTTGCTGTTTTTGAGTTGAGGATAACATTTCATATGCCATATGACTTTGAATTATTTCTTAGTTTCGGCTCTTTGCCTTAACACCATCAATATCATCTACTTATTTCTGGCTTATTTGTACTACATTTTTAAAGAAGTCAAGGCGGTTTTAGAAATGTGCCTTACCGCAAATGATGCTCATAAAATTTAGTAGGATCTTTGTGGGAATTATAAATTTCCTAAGGTGCTAATTTTCCATTCTCGTGAATCTGAAATGTTAATTGATTGATCTTGTTATTTGATCGAATTTCTTTTGTTGCCATTTTTAATTGCATATTTGTATATTTTTGTGCGCATGAGCATCATAAGGCACTGGTTTTAGTTAAAATAATTAGAGTATAAGCAAATAAATTTGAGTTAAAACTTGAAGGTTATATTATATTCATAAAATTAGTTATTGAATAAAAATGGTCACATGATTTATCTAAAATCAAATGATATGATAGTTAATTATCAACAATAAAATTGCTTTGTATGTTATGTTTCAATCGATCCTGTTTTGCAGCTCTCTAGTTTCATTGGTATACTGTTCTCATTTCCTCATTTTCCTTGACATACCTTATCTTGGGCCTTAATTCTCCAATGCTCCTCATGCGAACATTAATAATTGTATCCTTCAGTATTTTCTTTTTAGAAGATAAAAGGAAAATTTACATGCATACCACACAATCCTTGCGTATTTACTTGTCTAACACCCAAAGTTTGATGTTTACGCTTAGAACATATTCATATCATAAACCCATGCATGAAAAATATATTTCACTTTTATAAAGACAGTGACGAAAGTATTTTTGATATGATATTAAAAATTTGAGTGACAATAAATGTAAAAATAAAGTTTGGATGTTAGATAGTTAAATACATAAGAATTATGTGGTATGTATGTAAATCTTCCAAACTAACAATAGCTCGTCTGATAATCTTCATACGTTCTTTACAGCGGTCTCATTCCGCCTTCACCACAGGAATACCCTATTTTGGGTCTTAATCTCTTGAGGCTCCTGGTCCAAAACAGAATAGCTGAATTCCATACAGAGTTGGAGCTTCTCCCACCAAATGCTCTGGAGAATCCTTGTATCAAACATGCTGTTGAGCTGGAACAGTCTTTCATGGAAGGTGCTTACAACAGTGTTTTAATCGCCAGGCAGACTGTGCCCCATGAAACTTACGTTTATTTCATGGATCTTCTTGCAAAAACTGTCAGGTAAGGAAGGGGTGGGTTTATCAGATTGCGTTGCAAAACTCTTTAAAAATTATTTCATGTCAAAAATTTACTTGATTTTACAGAGAAGAGATTGCCGGTTGCAGTGAAAAAGCTTATGAGTCCCTGTCAGTTGCTGATGCAAAGAAAATTCTGATGTTTTCTTCTGATGAGGAACTTTCTACTTATATCGAAGAGGTTTTTTATTATTTGTTTTCAGTGTTTCATTATTTAATTACTCACATTATAAAAAAATAGAAGAAAAAAAAAACCTAGGGGCACTTGCAGGCATGCCACAGAAGTCTTATTATTATTATTTTTTATATATTTACATGCATGTGACTCAAACCTTTAGTATTATATAAAAAATACCACAATTACTAAACTTTATAAGGTAAAATTATCTTGTCATGCATAGGTTTATGACACCAATATGGTATGACTGTAAATATCAAACTTTAGGTGTTGAATATGTAAATACATTAAGAACTATGGCATGTATGTAAATCTGCTTGAAAGCTGATGTCTTGCATTTGGCATAATCAGTCAAAAGTCTTAAGTTTATCTTCTCACTTCCATGCGTTTTAATCCTTCCATTTTTGTAAATATCAAACTATAGGTGTTGAATATGTAAATACATTAAGAACTGTGGCATGTATGTAAATCTTCTTGAAAACTGATGTCTTGCATTTGGCATAATCAGTCAAAAGACTTAAGTTTGTCTTCTCACTTCCATGCGTTTTAATCCTTCCATTTTGTATATTCACGAACTGTAATTCTTTCTTTATTTATTTATTGGGCTTTTAGGAGCATCCTGAATGGGAAATCAAGAATGGAGTTGTTTTCTTTCAGAAAGCTAAAGAGTCGCAACCTTGCAAGGAGATACCATCCCTGCAACTAATCAACCAGACATTAAGCTATGCAAGAGAGCTGGAGCGTATTGTTTGAGAAGCTTCTTTTGCTATTCTAGACCTTCATGATAACATAATTTGGGTTTTTGCTGACTTTCTGAGATGCCAGAATGGAGAGATCTATTTGGCTCGATTATTTTCTTCGCAGGTGGTTTCTTAATTTATTTCATTTTATTTTATTTGAATCAAGAAAACAATTTGGTTGTGACAGAAAAAAATGTTCTATTTTTTTGGGATAATTATATGGATGAAAGAGGATGCAAATGAAATTCATGGGTTGAGAATATACTTGCTTGGTGAAATTCAAATGAAATTTATTAAAATTTAGGATCTTTTTAGGGTGGTTATAAATTTTTTTTTTGTAAATATATTTATAATATTATGATGTGAAAAATAATTTCTTAGAAGTTTCAGTAAAAAACTATAAATATTTATTTGTGTTTTAAAATTAAGACATCTTTTTTTTTTCCAGTGATTTTATTGTAATAAATTTGATTGTAAATCTTTTAAATAGAATTGTGGTGATCTAAAATGCAATACATGCAGGGAATTTATTAGGTTTTTTTTTTCATGATTGTGTCAAATTGTTAGTCAATCCTTGATGCAGGCTCATATTGATTTGCTGATTGCACACTAAACGGGATAGGATGTCACACTCCGGGCCAAAAGATTGTACAACCCGACAGTGCTGGGCGTGGGGAAATGATTTGAACCTGTTTTGTATTTTTTAAAGAAAATAAATAAAAGAAAAAATATAACTTTTATTAATATTGAAAAGTTTAAAGATATAACTGGATTGAAAACAGAAACTAGTTGAATCAAAATGGAAAAGCAAACATTGAATAACCACCCGGGCTTAATAAAAATGCAATAGCTAGAACAAATATTAAGGAAAATATCAAAACTCGAAAATTAAAACTAAAAAGCAATCTCTTGTGGAGACAGTCATATTGGTGACTGAATGGAATATGTTTTTCAAAAATTAAGAATAAATTTGACAAATTAAGTAAATAAAAACTATCTATTAAAACATAAATGATGAGAGAGTAAGACATGCAGTATAGACAAGAAGAAAAAATCACTATGCGTATGTAATAATTTAAGACAAATAAGAGGGGTAATGAAAATTATGCATCCCTTATGAAAACTTGCAAGCATTTTCCATCTAGTTTCTTATTATTATGTTTTCATTTAGATTTATATAATCGATTTTAATAGACACCTTGAAACTGGAAAGTCAAGTACCAACCCAAAAAAATCTGGCTATTTTCAATTGAGTCGTCAATTTGTGAGCCCGTCGGCCTGGCTAGTCAAAATTCAAAAGAGGGGAAGGAAGCGAGGTTGCAGAATGAGATCAGTTGGGCCTTACCTCCTCTCTTATAGATCCATGTTACTCATCGAAACAGGAAGGCGGTAAGAAGAGGAAGCAAGAAGGGGCGACAAGAAGAGAAAAAAGAAAGTTAAAGATTCAGAGGAAAGTCACAAGTAGAGATGAAAATGAAAGAAAGAAAAATCATATAGAACAATAAAAGGTAAGACAAATCCGGTTCTTATATACGGATGTAAAAAAAAAAAAAATTGTCGGAATTTAGCTAATAGAATCTTAAAAAGTTTTTATAAAAATAATGGTGGCATGCTCCCATACGTTTGTTTCTCTTTCAAATGTTTGAATGACATGCAAAGTAGTCAATTAAATTAAAATTTAAATCATTTTTAGTAAAAAAAATATCACATGCATATACAAAGGGAGGAAACAATCGTTTATACATATAACATTATACTATCTTGCACATTTCGAAAGATCTAAAGGCACACACTTTGCGCAATACTGCATTTCCCCAATAATAAGAATAGAAGCCTATTTTTTAATATCATAAATTTAAATCACAAGTTTTAATTTGTTAATCACTATTCTAAAAAATACTTATTTTAAGACTTACAAAAATAAAAAAAAATATGTTTAAAACAGCTTTCATAATCATATTATATTATTACTATTATAGAAACATTTAAACTGAGCTCATGCTAAATAAAATCAATTAAATTTGAGCATAAGAAATCATTGACTCAAGCTTTTTTTACAGCAGATTTATACTTCAAACACATTCAATGAAGAAGCCTAAGCAAATTTTAAAGCTTCGTGGCCTCAACACTCTAGTAAAAGGTCAAAAATTAAATTACTGCTCCGAATGGACGGTACAGATGCATAGATTAAAAGTAAAGTGTCAAAATAGTGCCTGATCATTCACATTGGGCCATTTAGTCCCATAATTTATATACGATTATTTTAAAATTAAGTCATAACAGTCCTACATTAGGACTATTTAAATTCTAATTTAAAAATTCTGCTTGACATATCTATGAACTTTAGGACTAAAAAAAGCTCCATGTAAATAATGGACGAATACAGCGTGCCGCTTTAACTCCGGCGGACCCGCTCCGTGTTCAGTGCACTCGCACCCAGTGTAAATCACCCGCGTCGGTACTTGCGAGCCTGCACCCGCTTATCCGTTCAACGTCAAGCAACCCACCCAGTAGTAGTGTAGCGCACCCTCGCCTCTTCGCGGCGCACCTGCGCCAGTTTGCAGAAACCTATTTTGACAAATATTTTCTTGACTTTGCTTGGCACTTTACTCCGAGATCTATCCCAATATTATTGAACATGCAAGTATAAACAGTACTAACTAGAGAAATAATAAAAATGAGCACTCTTTACTAAATCACAAGCAGCTTTACCAAAAAAATGATATACATATAGATAGAGAGAGAGAAAGAGAGTTAGAGATAGAGAGAGAGAGAGAGAGAGAGAGAGAGAGAGAGGTAATAATTATCTCTATCTCCCAAACATACAGTGAAACACATTTCAAACTAATGCATTAAAATCTAGGAGAGTTCGTTGGAATTCTGGTGGCTCCAGTACCCAGAATGAAGATCGGACGCTTTTGTCTCAAATATACAACTGGGCCACTAATAAGTAACAGGCCCACCATAATAAGCTGGCAAAACAAAAATTAAAAAATAATAATAAAAAGAGAGCTCAGAAAATTGGATAAATTGCGAATTAAATTAAAAATTGACAACCAATGGATAAATCCAAAATATAAATTTACAGTGAAGAACCAAACACAGCGAATAAATCAAGTAATAGAGTATAAAAAGAGATAGACATTCATAATTTCCTCTAAAGATTATTCAGAGAGGCCAATGGAGGTCTCATCCTAGTTCCCTAGAACCTAATCAAATGTCACCGTATACTTGCCAGAGCTAGCTGAACCCTGCTTTTGTTAAAATCATTCATTTTCACTTATTTGTCAATGAAAATGAATCCTTACTATTAGCTTGATAGAAGTCAAAATTCATATTGATCCTAATTACAATACAATCCAATGATAGAATATAGCAAATTTTAGCTGGTAAAATGAGTTCTAAAGTAGACAATTAAATATCATACCTCAAAACCAAGAACAGACAATTTTTCTTCACTATCTACTGGTATACAACTTCTATAAGTAGTATAACTCTGTTTCACATTTTCTGATGCAGAAGAATCATCCGTGAGCTTTCTAGACTTTAAGTTCCTTACAGTAACTGAACCAGCCATGTTGTCTGATTGAAAGAGCAACTTTCTTCGGTTTTTACTTCGAGATACTTCTTTAGAACCATCTTGACTTTCTACACATTTTAAGGGCAAGCGATACCCGGTCTCACTACAATGATATTTTTCATCATTCTATAACACAAAAGTAGGAATAATTGTGAGAAGATGGAATAGTAAAAGCTAAACTTGAAAAAAAAAAGCAAAAAACACATATAGATCATTTAAGATAAAAGAAACATTTAACAATCTACGTACAATCTAGGAAAGCATTCCACAGAACACTATGGATCATCAACGTAGTATCCATAGCCTTATCTGAGCTATTTGAAATGGCTTTATGAATCCAGCTCCTCCATTTTATTATTATTTTTTTAATTTCACTTCGTGTGTTAGTTTGATTCATGTAAATACTTTAGCACAATTTCTAGACGTTTCATCTTTAACATGCACCTTTAGCTTTCTATTTCCCTCATGAAAATATATCCACTAACTTTATTAGCTCATCTCACGCTTTACACTCTATATTGTAAGCAAAACATATAATTCAATATTTGTAATAACTTTCCAAATCTTTTTCAGAGCTAGATTAATTATAATGTTCATTATATCCTTCACCATTTTTTTTCTTTAATAAATATCCTTATCGAAGTTCTTTAATAATTTAACAAAATAACTTTTCATATTTCCATAAACTTTACCATTTAAGCAGCAAAAAAAAGTTTTCATTCTTAAAAAACCAACTTAATCAAAGATTTTTGAAACCTAAAGAAGAACAATATGCACATCACATTCAGATTCACTGGGAGATTGTCCTAATCTCTGGCATTAGGCTTTCCTAGCATCCGTTGCTAGCAGCACTACATCCTCATTGACATCTTGGCACTCCTGTAATTGTTTTGTTTTCTACGGTGCATACAAATAGCGGCTTACTGTATTAGGGCTTGTTAGCCTGTGTGGCTGTCGTGATTGTTGATCTTGTTTTGGTCTTTTATGTGCTCGTTGCTGCTAGGTTAATGCGTGCAACTTAAGGGAACTATTCTGACGACCATGCCATTTCTGACACCAGTTTCCATGCGCCTATGGATGTAATTAATAGGGCTGTCAACATGGCTAGTCATCCGCGAACAGCTCGTGTTCGGCTAGTTCATTAAGTCTAATAAGTCGAACACCAACAAATTTCAAACTCGCATTGTAAAAGAGCCAAACACAAACAAATATTTGTTCGCTCGTGTTTGGCTCGAAAACAAAAATAAATAAACAAATGCTAATTAAAAAAAATTATTTGGATGGTATATTTAAAAAAAAATACAAATTTAGATGTTAGAAATATAAATGAATAGGATTTAGGGTGGTATGCATGTAAATATCCCTAAAAATTCATAGCCAAATTCTTTACCCACTCACATCAAGGATTGGGATTTAGTCCCGCATTAGGATTTTTGACATGAGAATTTTTGTATGCCTTTATAAAAAGAATGACTTAGCATGGGTTTTGGCAACCATAAAATATCATATCTATATACACAAGAATTTCCATATGAAATTTCTTTGTTTTTACAAAATTAATTATTTAAGTAGTTAAATAAAAATAATTTAAATTATTCAATTCATAATTTTTTGAAGTTTTGTAGTTGCTTGTAAGGAGGCACGAGCGACATGAACATAAAATATAATGAACAGGTTATGGGCTTAGTCAAGTTCAATTTGTTAATAAGCTTAATTTAAATGAGCTGATTTCAAGCCAAAAACGAACAAAAAAAAAAAGTAAATCGAGCTGAACATGAGCATACTGTTTATGAGCAATTTCGAACGAGTCAAATACGAGCCAAGCCTAAGCTTGCTTGAGCTCAACTTGTTTACAACCCTAGTAATCGAGTTAAGCTAACTCTTAAGACGATGTGGCTTGACTTGGCAAATAGCTTGTGAGCCAAGCTCGGTGAAATTATGAGTCAAGTTTGAGCCAGCTTCGACTTCTCGTGAGCTTATGATCTAGCTTATTAAGAAAATGTTAATAAAAATAAACTTCAAATATATTAAAATTCAAATATTAAAATTCCAATTTATCAAAATATTTTAACATTTTTCTTTGTTCTTTATATAAAGGAATTTCTTGATATTTCTCATCTTATTTATTCTTTTTATCATTTTATTTCAACTTGAACCGAAAACATCTTTCTCTTTAATAAAATAAGGAGCGGCTCGACCTCTTGGATTTCACCCCGAGCTTGAGCTTGAACTTGGTTAATCAATCAAGCTCAAGCTTAAGTCAGGGATGACTTGCGCTCCGCTCAACTCATTTACACCGTTAATGACACTATTGCTGGGTAGTTTTGGCTCCTGGGATTTAACCTCTGCACAACAATTTTTATTGGTCACTGCTCTTTCTAGCTTCCCTTGGAGTTGATTCATTACTCGACTTTAAAACCATCCATGATTTCTACTGTTTAGGTTATAACACCTAACAAGGGTACTCTATTGCCACCAATCTCGATGCCTACAAAATCCCCTTCAACTCCAACTAATCAACAAACTATGGCTATGATTTCTCCTAATGCTAGTGCTCCTTGATCCTTGGTTGCAACCGTTAGGGGGTTGATGGCTCCAGAATGTTAAAGGGGGTTGTCTATCCGATTTGTTTTTATTTTTTCAGCAAGGATCAAACACTCGTCAATAAAGATAACCATCCAAAATTTAGAGCAAACCATCTCTTATTATAACTAAATTTGAGATCTCAGAGCTTGCTACTCCATTCTCCTTTCTATAGGGGGCAAATGCTCTATAAGGAAGCCCATTCTTGAGATTAAAGTAAATTTCTATGTCAGATTTATATTTGATAGAATATTATTCTATTCGACTGGTTGATAATCTCCAAATTATTATTAAATTATATGGGAAAGCAAATAATTTCTCCCCAAGTTCATACTAAGTATGTAGTTTTTAATGTGCTTGTAAAAGTTGACCCCTCATTTTGAGTCATCCATGGAACCCTCTATCACCTCAATCAAACATGGCTTTAGCTTCACAATTTCATAGAGACTATATTATATTATTTGGGCTCAATTTTTGGCAGTCTTACAAATTGATGATGCAACTGCTTATTTGTTCAAACCATATAAACCATTAATTACTTTAAATCTCATCCAGAATTAAGAAAATACCCTATTATTGGTCCTAACGGTCAGTAACATGCAGAACATGCGAATAGTTCAAAATTTCTTCATTGGCGGTGGACACAGCACCGCCTTCATCATTTCATAATTTATACAAAATTTACAACCAATGCTACTTGGTAAAATGAAATTAGAGCCTTCTACGCTTCCCCTTGCTGAAGTAAGCACAAAGGATATCATAGTCTCATCAATAGCTAAGAAAATGTAAAGATTTTCCGATGAGTTTGCCCCCCATAACAGAGATGTCACAAACTCTGTGCAGCCTTCTTATTCAGACAATAGCTTATCGGGTTTGACGGTTAAGTGGATGGAAGATTTCATATTCTACTCTTCAGAATAAAGAGAGAAATACAAAAACACTTATTTTCATTCTCCAATATTCATTAGGCTACAAACCAGGGCAAAAATGAGAGCTCTCCACATTTTGATACAATCATGTTATCTTAAATTGTGATAATGTTTTCCACATTTTGATCCAACAATTCCTTTTGATTCCCTTGTGTGCACTTGTTTCATTATCAAGTAATAGTATCATGCTGTTTAAAATGTTATATTTAGATTATTCTAGAATCTTTGGATTATTGCTAGCATTTCATTGATTTTGCTATGCATTTCATAATCATGAAAAACAATCAATTTATTTTTTCTTTTCATTAGGTCATGTTTTCTTTTATTTAAATGATATTACTTGTCTTTTCATTAAGATTTATCTAATTTTAAGATTTATTATTTTGAATTATCCATGTAATCCTATTATTATAAATATGATATGTAGCATTGTAAATCATTACCTAATAATGTACTAAATTTGAATGCAATTCAAGCATTTCCTTGCCAATCTTCTCCTCTATCCCATACACTTCTCTCTCTCCTTTCTATGACCCTCAGGTGAGACCAAAAGAGCGAGACTCCTTCGAATGCCCATTAACACTAATTTCCTCACCACCATTCTCACCTTAAACTCCCTCTGTACATGTCTAATTGACTCCTCTCTTCAGTACAAGTGAATTAAAGAAAAAATCAAATAATTTAACATCAATTTTAAGAGATGAAACAAGATCAAACTAGAAGTTATCACATCAGGGGTCCACATATAAATCAGAATCACAGTTGAATTGCTTAAAGAGTTGACATCCAAATGTTAAACCTTAAATCTGCATACACCCCAATACACCTCTTCCACCCCTTCCTTAAGACTTACAAAAGGATCTCGCCTCCTCAACCCCAACCCCCCCATGGGCGCATGAACGTCTCTATCAGTGACATTTCCCCTCATGCACATGTCTCTCACGATGGTCGCGACTGCATTTACAGCTCGGCCCTCACACATTTCACACGCAAGTTGCATGCTCAACTTTCATTAGCAGGATATTTTCATTAGTGGCTAGAGCCTGATGTGATGTCTCTCCTAATGTGCACACCTCTTTGAGGCCATATGTACCTTCTCATGGCATTATGTTAAATTCACGTGTGTTTCTACAACATTAGCATCTCTAGTACCTAATCGTCCATTCTCAAGCAACACGAGTGTGGGGCCATTCTGGGCTTCATTAGACTCTATTAATGCCAATACATCCGCTTGGTGTTGGGTCTTGCCTAACCTCTCTGGCTCCTAAAGCTAGTCGTAGCATGACAACTTCTTCCCTGACATCAATGATTGATTTTTGCACCCTCATGTTCGTGGTCGTGCACGATTGCATCTATTGATCTCTTTTAAGGGATCTTTTTCACTTCGCAATTCATTAATCCCTTCAAATCCCAACAATTCCTGTGATGAGACTCTCGAGGTAGCCATCTCCTAACCTGGTAGACCCTAATGCTTCATTGGCTAATCCTCTTACTTACTTCTCGGTGGTTTAGCCTCCTTACATTCAAACTTTGTGTTCTTTTGCAAATGTTGTTCATGGTACTAACATCACGGAAGCTATCTTTTCCTCAATCAACAATTCTCCACTATTTTTTCATCAAACTTCAGAGAATCTTAAATACAAATAACCCTTACCTTTTCAGTGTAAGCTTGCTAAGCCTCTCAACCTCTCACTTAATAGCAAATTCTCTATAGGTCATAAAGGTAGTTCATAAATTCGGGTTGGATCCAAAACTATTAGGTGACTATTTCATTGAGCTCATTTACCCTTGAGATATTATCATAAAGCTTTTATTAGAAGTAAACTATATTAGATTATCTCATGACGATCCTCTTATATTAACGAGCTCCGAATGCGCGCATTAACATGGTCCACCATTTTGATTGCTTGAAGGAGTCGCCTCTCACTCCAATTTAAACCTCTTTTCCAAGAAATTGTCTCTACTTAAATTAGCCTACATTATTCTTTCTAACATCAGTTTTAAAAAACCTTTATAGTCTTGAAGATATGAAGGTAGCTGCTACAATAGCTTATTTTGTTATGCCATCTATGATTAGAGTCTTGAAGAGGTTGAATTTTATTGCACTTTTTCATAATAATATGTAGATTAGGTCTCCAAAATCTAGATATTTACAAAAGGTGAAATTTTAAAAATGCCATTATAAAACTCCTCTTGCCATATTTTTGAACATAAATTCTTAAAATATTCAACATTCATTCCGTGTTGAGAAACACTTTAGTTAAATCTGAGGACCTTACACCTGATGACCTATAACGAAAGATCATCGTATTGTGTCTAGATTTGTGCTCAAAACTTTGATGTAGGTTTAACCCCTTTACTTCGCAAGTTCTTGAAACACCCCCATATCTTCCTATTAGTGAACAAAACAATAAATATTTGCTGCAACGTGCTTCTATTTTTTATTGTAGCAAACTGTAGATGCTTTAGTGAATATAGGCTTTCATATAATTTATATCAAAATAGGCAAAAATTAGAGCAAAAATTCATCACTGCTCTTCTATTTTTACCGGACTTTAACCTAGATGATCAAAATAATTTTTTTTACATCTTTTTTTGCTTACTTGTATTTTTTTTTCTCTAGCATTTCTTGGTAAATGCCTTTGATATACTCATATAATTATCTAGTTAATAATTTTTGCTTAAGAAAAAAAAACCAATCACATCCCCTCTGCCATTCAAAAGCATCTAAATCAAAACACCATTCAATTAAATTGACATACAAAAATTCAAACTCTAATCCTAATCCAAGTCTTGGCCTTACCCCATAGTAAGTCCTTCGTGCATTATCATTGGAACACTAAAATAATGCTAATCTTGTTAGGAATGCAAAAATTATGTCTAGAAGATATATTTGGCACATTAAAATTTGCCTTTAAAAATACAAAATTTACATCACTAAATTTGAAATCAAGGTTTTAAATCTTATCTGAAGCTTTATCAATATTCTAAATATCATAAATCACACAATATCGTGAACATGATTCAAGTTTATCTCAAGATGACACATATTACATAAAACAATCTTCATCAATGTAAGAAATATAATAAGTCATCTTACGATCCAAATTATGTCAATGATTCAAATAATCATTATTAAACTTCTGGTAGCAAAAATCCCTTGCAAACATAATGATGTTGATGCATATAATATTATCCAAATATCCATTTCTAATTAACCATCTCGAGCATCTAGGTTGAATTTTGACATCTAAGTTTTGATAATTTAAATGTTGTTGTCATTTGTATGAATTATATGATGACTATATACATGATCATACCGTACATCTAAAACCATACCATGATTATGCCTTGTCACATAAAATACTAGTTTCTTAAAATTTCAAAAATTTATGTTGATTCCACAAGTTTAGAAGTTTATATCAATTCCATAATTTTATATGAGTGTCAATTCCACTAGACATATGAAAAACCTACCATATTTTCTTGTGGAATGGCCAAAGCCGAATGAGGGTTTCTATTTTGATAATTCCCATTATGTGTATGAGCTTGACGATATTGACAATGATCAAATATCAATAATAAAGTTTCTTAGTTGATCCGAACCTCTGATAATCTAAGACTATTCTTGGGTTTAAATTTGATATTTTCTAACCATATTACTAAGAGTGAGTCTAAGATGACTTTTAATAGTGTTTTTATTCAAAATATCTTGTGATGAAGAGAAAGATTGTTCCAAAAATTCTTATGTAACTATGTGGTTTGTACTAGATATGCATGTTGCTTTGTGGATTTCAAAATTTATAATTCCTCTACAAAGATAATTATCTAGATCATGTAGTTACTATTATCACATCTATGTGACCATGGGATCATCTACATTATATTGATCAAACAAAGCTGACGCTATATGGCGATGTCCAAATTCAAAACATTAAGGACATCTTTTTAAGTGTTCATATTCTTGAAAATGCATATGCAGATGATTCAAAATATATCTAGAAGCCAATTTGAGTAACACATCTACCCAAGGCACTAGATTACCAGGCAAGTGTTCATGGATAACTCTTTAAGGAAAAACTTTTATCAACCCTAAAGAAATTATAGTAAAACATGTATGAAATTTTCATTTAGTTTATTCTAATAGTTTCATAATATTTCTAAAATTTAATTATTTTTATTCAGTTAATTTTCATTAAAACAACCAATTTAATTATCCTGTATATCAGTATTATCTTTCTTCATTTAAGACCAATCTCTTCACCACCATTCTCTCCCTAAACTTTCCTCTAAAGCCTAATTCACCATCTTCATTGAGACTAAATTGATTGAAAGATAAGGAAACTCAAATGTAACTTCGTGACAATAGAAAGAAGACAATCAAGCAAGAAAGCTTCATTAAGGGTTTGTCAGCACCTTCAGTCTCTAATCTTACCTATAGTAATCGATCGTTCAAACCATAGTGCAAATAAAGATCAAAACCTTAAATTAATCATCACTATTAGTCGTATCCCTACTATTTAGGGTTAGTTTTATGATTTCTCCTTTTCATTTATCCCTGTTAAGTGATTCATGCTGCATTAAACCTACTCTTCATAAATCATTTTGAGCGACTTTTACTCATGTTATCTTATTTTTACCCATTCTCAATCCTTATATTCAAAATTTTATCTAAGTGTCTACTAAGTGCATATAAAAAACTCGAAAAAGTTGCATGCAAATGAAGCAAAATGGATTAATGTTAATTAAAAGATCAAGTTGATGGAAAATGGAGGCCATTAGTTTAAAATTTACAAATTTACATTACCTAATGCATTTCCTTCCCTTCAGATTCATTACATAAGTCTAGCCTTAATACCCTGCTCCTCTTCATCGGTTGGTCAGTTTAATTTGACATCCTTCTTTCAATTATCTCTTTGTTATAAGAAAACATTGATAAATTCATGTTGTCCACTCTACTTCGATTTAAGGGAACTGTGAATTCATGAAAGATGGATAAGGATCACTATTCTCGTTTTCAATAAACAAACATCATCAACACAAAAAGCATATCTCTTTGCCCAAAAGAAGAAAAAAAAAGGCAGCTGATTATTTCCTGCTTCAAAATCTCACATCTTCATTCCCTCCAAACACTGAAATAGAAGGATCCTCAATCACAATTAACATCTTACCCTTGTTCCAAAATTATTCAAACAACATCTTCCCTAAACAAATCAGCACATACCAAAATTTTGTCACAAAATCTCGAACAGACTCCGGATCCAATCCGCCAAGCCGAAGTTACGGCTACGGCCCTAAAAACCTAGAATAACCGAGAAACAAACTATAACCAGTTCCAATCCAAAACACATTCAATTACCTTTTCAGAGTATTCACACGGGATACAAGGGCCAGCGGGAGAGCACTGGAAGGAGACGTTACCAAGTGTCTCTCGAAATCCCAGCAGCGAACGTCCCTTTCCACCATTAGCGGTCACCGCTTCTCCTCGCACCGCCGCGATGCATACCGTTAGCAGGATCACCAACAGCTCTAACACCCATGTCGTTCTCGCCTCACCAAGGAAAACCATGTCCCGAATTCCTTGCCAGGTATGTTGGGAATTGAGGAGTGGGTGGTGTCGCTAAAACAAGATGTTTATGCGGAGTATTAATTATTATTCGTAAATCGTATTTATTGTTAGGATTTCAATTTTTTTATATACACACCGTCTTTCCCATGCATCAAAGGTGTATTCCAATTTTTAAAAGTTAGAATGGAGAGTTATTTACGTGCGTCATTCTGCGTGCCTGTTCCCTGAATAATCTTTCAATAACTCAATTATTGAGGGTATTAACCTCAATAAAATCTCAATAATCTCCAAGCACACCACCTTTCCCATGCATCAAAGGTGTATTTCAATTTTTAAAAGTTAGAATGGAGAGTTATTTACTTGCGTCATTCTGTGTGCCATTCTGTGTGCCTGTTCCCCGAATAATCTTTCAATAACTCAATTATTGGGGGTATTAACCTCAATAAAATCTCAATAATCTCCAAATAACCTACCAATACCTTCCGCAATTTGCGCTCATATTTTTTGTTGTTATTCTCGGGATTTTGTGAGGTTATTGGGGGTATTAACTCCAATAGCACCGACATAACCCTCTAACCCCCAAATAACCGGAGTAAGCACGCACAACTGCGTGTGTATGACGTACATAAATATTTTTTGTTATAATGATGATATTTTTGATGTGATATAAAAAATTTGGATAGTATAAATGTAAGAAAAATAAATTTTAGATGCATGCATCGTATGTGTGTAAATGTCTGTTATTATTCATGAGTGATTTGATTGTATTAGATTGCATTATTATTATTATTATTATTATTATTATTATTATTATTATTATTATTATTATTATTATTATTATTATTATTATTATTATTATTATTATTATTATTATTATTATTATTATTATTATTATTATTATTGAATTGAGAGTAGAAGCTCAAATTGAATGAAGTAATAAAATAAAGCATGTAGAAAATAACATCTATAAAACCTAATTTTTTGCATAAAACCAAGAGTTTATGGGTGGATTATAATTACCAAATTTAGAGTCATTTATAGAGATAGTTGTCGAGATTGATCTATAAAAAGTAAAATACAATGATTTAGTCCAACTACCAATGCATATCTATAGACTATGTTTGCATTCTATTAAAAAGTCTAGTTTTTAATCACCTTATACTAAGTTGGTATCCATCCCTCCTTAAGGCCAGCAGCGGGCGGTCGGGTGGGTGGGGGGAATTGGCCAACGTAGGGGCCCCGTCTAAGGATGTATTCGAAGACGAGAATGTACTCCAACTGTAACTTGTTTGAAGTGGTAATTGTGTTCCAAGGATTGAGTGATGCTCCCATAGTAGTTCAATCTCATGGGAGTATTTATCATTGATTTCCCTCCTACAACCTTCATGTCACCCCCACTATTGTCTTCTTGCTGCCGCTCCCTTGCCTCCAGTCTTCCCACCTGCAGACTTTTTGCCGACAACCCCTTCAAACTATTTTCTCCTTGCCGCAAGCCCTCCCAACAACTAGCCCTTCCCAACTACTGCCTCCTTGTCGACAGTCCTCCCATATCGTGTTCTTTGTCACCAAACCACCCCAACCACCTTTCTTTTCCCAACCACAACCCCTAACAGCAGCCTTCCATCCAACTTTGAACCAAGCCCTAGTTGGGTGTTTGTGTGCTAGATTTCCTTTTAGTTGCAATTTTATAACCACTAATTTGCTACTTGTAATAATATTTTTTTTTTTCATTATAATTTGGGTTAACTCCAGTAACAATCTTAGTTGGCACCCTCCATTGATCTTCAAATATAACTTGCACCTCCTAAATTGCAACAAAGTAATAATATTTATTTTTTCATTATAGTTTGAGTTAACTCCAGTAACAATCTTAGTTGGCACCCTCTATTCAGCTTCAAATATAACTTGCACCTCCTAAATTGCAACAATTCATCTAAAGAGATTAGTTCCTTTGCTAGGTGGATTCTTTATTACACCTCTCTCATCCATGCACATATTTTTACTCTATTACCTTATCTTTCGACCAATCCATTAGATCTCCGAGTCAACAACATCAATACTAGTAACTCATGTTGGCTTCTCCCTTTAAGACAGACAATCTAGCTAGTTTTCGCTATTGTATTATGTCAAACTCCTTTTCAACTTTCTCAGCTTTGAACCATCTCCCCTATGCTACAATCATCTCCGTCAGATGATGGCCAAATAATTTCTCAAATCTATTTTTAAATTTCATTACTTTGAGCCACATCCTCAAGGAGGGACAGTTTACCTTGACATAAAGACTGAAAAACCATCTTATTATTTTAGGGTTTATTTTCCTGGCAAGAGCTGTCAAAGGTTAACAATTCATTTCAAAATTATACTGCAGTTATTAATAATATTTTAAATTGGAGAATCTACATCACAAATTTCATTATTCCATATTAACCATACACATATTCTGTTATACTTGACTAACATATCAATTTCTTTGTCATATATAAATTTACCCCAAGTTTCGCACTTCAAGTCAAGATGCTTTCACCTCTGATGTTTTAAGATTTATTATTTTACTTTAGGCATCTGAAGTAGTATTTAATGTTATGTATGGCTTGATGGTTGAGAAGAGGGGCACCCCAACACACACAGATGCTTCCTGAACCAATTCACATTAGTATAGCTGGGGACCAAGTCTTCAGCACAAAAAAGATCATTTTATGATAAATTTAATGCTTTTGGAGAGTAGAAGTCTACTTGTTGCCCACAATCATATCATAAACCATATTTTCATGTGGCAGCTGTGCTTGGAATGCAATTGTTCCGATAAAATATACATATCATTATTCTATATTAAGCATATAATTAAGCTTACATCACCAACATATGTAAGAACGGCTACAAAATGAAAAGAAAATTGCAAAATACGATGGACAAGCACATCATTTTAAAAAAGATGTCCGTAATAGAATAATGTGCTAGTCCCAAAAATCTCCACAATGTATGATTTTAGCTCTCGTACAAACAAAAGCGACTCATAAAGCCATTTATTACACCTCACAAATTCAAACTGATTTTATGTTTCCTTTAACTGGACAAAGAAAAAGAAAACAGCAGAAGAGAAATCATTCTTCTTCCAGATCTTCAGAAGAATAAGAATATATATATGTTCCAAAACAAGGGGCTGAAGAATACATATACAATCTGCGGGAAAACCTGATGGAGCTAAAGAGGAAAGAATTATACATTTATGCGTGCTAAGGAATAAAAAATGTACAAGTTAACAGAAGAAATTAACTGTACAATTTTTGTATTGGAACCATTTTTTAAACTATCACTGCTTAGAAATCCCATGAAGTGCTATTATAGTCAGTGTTAGCTCTGGTTCCCATCCACTCAGGCACTTATTTAACCATCATGTACATAAGAAGCCAAAAACTTTAATTTTAACTTTGGCCGATTCTCAAGGGGAATGTAAGAACAAGAAGGAGCTGCCCTTCTCCAAGTTTTACCTACTAAAATTGAAGAGATTCATCTGTCATTTTGTTAGGTTAAAACAAGGTTTAAGGAATCGCTTTAAAAAACAGATAACAGAAAATTATATAGAACAGTTAAAATAATATTGCAATATTGTTTTGATTTTGTAACATGAAATTAGGAAATAGTGCATAGTCATTTAGAAAGAAAAGCACAGTTAAGATGAAAGCACATGGTCGACTATAAAGTTGGGGCATCAGAAGCACCGAGAGAAAGCATTGTAGCTGGCTTCAATAAAGTTCCTATGAAATTTACCTTGCAATGCTCATACTGCTTACAATTAATTGATTTTTGGGGCATTTACATACATACCACCCCATGCCTAGGTATTCAAATATCTAACATCTAAATTTTACTTTTTCTCAATTATACCACCCAATCACCATTTTAACTTTAAGAAAGTGAAATGTACATTTTCATGGAAGGTCGCATGTAAGTTAAAATTGAAATTTAAGTGTTGAGATATGTAAACACACAGGAATTGAGTGGTATTTATGTAAATCTTCCTTGATTTTTACATAAGCATCCTTAATTAATGGCATAATGAATTTAAGGGAAATACTTGAGGCTAATTGCATAGTGACAGCCATGCATCCGGAAGCCTAATTGTTCAACAGTGATTTACTTGAGTCAAGGCAACACAAAGGGTAATAAAAGCGAAGAAATAAATTTTTGAAAAAGAAGCTGTCAGATAAAAAGGCAAATTTTAGAAGAATGCAACTGGATGATTGGCGGCATTCCATACATCACTTCAAATCATAACAAACTTCCATTCGATTAGGCAGCCTGAAAAATCTCTCACGTTACCACCCTCAAAGATGAAATCTAGATATTGAGATTTTTCCAGCTCCTATACTCAATATGATATAATTTATTTCTTAGAAAATTGTATGTTTTGAATAACTACATGGCCGCTTGTGGAGATTTGAATGATAAACTACGAGTTTGAAAATTTTTAAATTTTAAAAGTCTAGTAATGATATCAATAATACAGTCAGGCACATGGAAAGCTCAATATATGTACTGAAAATAGCAGCAACAAAATTTCCCTCATGCTTCTTGACTAATACACTTGGCAGCATAATAGAAAGGAAGGTAGCATGTAATCGCAGAACACAGTTTTAGGAACCCAAATGAAATTATAGTCTCATAATAGCTAAATTTCAGGAACAAGTAAAGGAAACAGTGGAGCCTAATGTTCTCATTCAAAATAAAATACGGAGTATAGGACAGCTAATTGTAAGAACAAGGGCTTTAAATTGTAGGAAGGATTCCTACGTAAAAAGGACTAGGAAAAAAGTGTCATAATTTAAATACCTTGGTTAAGTCCTCAGAACACCATTAACAGAATTTCTCCAACTGCATCTCAGCTAAACCCATCCCATAGCGGAAAATTTTCACTTTCCATTTGGAGGAAGATTTCACCTACGAATCTGAGGGTTGTCTATGGAGTACAAAAGAAGACAACCATCTTTGGTTCCAGCTAAAATGCACTCTTCCGGCGTCACAGTTAACGATGTTATAACTTTACCAACACCTTCAAATCTTCGTAGGATATCAAGAGAATGCATCGAGCGTAGAACGATGCCGTGATCACCCGCACATATGAGGAAGTCACCGCAGACGCTGAGCGTCATGCAGTTCAAACGACCATTTGACTCCGAATATGCGATGTGTTTTCCATTAATAGAATACAGACGGAGACTTAGATCATTATCAGCATAAATCACCATGCGCCCATGTGGCGAAGCAACTAGTTTTGAGATGGAACAGCCCGAAGGATGTTGAATGGATCTCACATATCTTCCCTCCCGTAATGTGTGGAAAATACAAGTTCCATCTTTAGATCCACTAATAACTATATCGAGCTCTGAGCTAATATATAAACATGTAATGATGTCATCATGTCCGCAAAGAATATGAAAAGGGGTCTCAATAAAAATATGGTCTTTTCTTCCCTTCTTTTCTGTCAAACACAATCTATAAGCATGCCAAATCATGACCGTTGTGTCATAGCTTCCAGTAGCAAGAATACATCCATCAGATGTCACTGCAAAATAGGCTAGATTTTTAGACATAGCTTTTGATGTAATCATTAATACAGCCTATATTTCTGAATGAATGATACAAAAAAGTAATAATAAAAAAGAAACGATCAAAATATCATCAATGACGTCTTTCAACTTGCATCTGTCAAAGCTGCAGAGCCCCGTTGAAAAGTTATTTGGATAAAACCACTTATTTACTATCTAAAAGCAGTGAGATCTCATCAATATTAACCATAAAAATCCCTGAAAGAGATACTTAAATCACCAAGCAATTATCAAGCGCAAAGCCCATTTTCAACAAGGCATCCAGCTTACAAAATAAAATGCATGGCCAAGGAAAATGCATTTTGATACCTATATGAATATATAGACGTTTCACAAAACTCACAAGATAAAAGGTTCAAAGAATCACATTTCAATATGTTTTACAAACAAAAATATTTGAGTGTTTTCTATGGTTGTTGGAGCATTTCAACTCTGATTTGAACCATGTCGCTTTAAACGTCAATCAATTTTCATAGAATCGATTGAGCCGATTGCAGAAGGACTCTTTTAGGAAAGCTGAATATGAGATACTGCGTTCTGGTTGTGGTCAACATAAAGCAGACCCAATTCATTCAATGCCGCCTCCTTATCCACCATTGTCATCACAGCCGCTTGAATTCTCTGGTAAAACAGATATATAAACCAATGAAGAGTGTCCAGATGAATCACGGGATCAAAGATCCCATAATCCTAGTCGTGGGAATACTGAGATAGCTCAGAAACAATTGTTTCCACAATCGGAGGTAAGCCGAAATGCAAGATTCCATCCAGATTCAATTTCTGTATGAATTTTTTCCTTTTCGGAATTTTCTTCCTTTTTTTTATATTTCTAATTAGGGTCCTTTCTATTATGAGACTATTTATGTATTTATTTGGCTGTTTTTGGGATACTAGCTATTGTGTTTGTGTTTTGGAGATTTCATTCTCTATTTTATGCTCTTTGGAGTGTTGCATCCTCTTCTTTTTACAAATGGTGTGCCCGTTTCTTGCTTAGGAACATGTGGTAGATCCGCCTCGCTGATTCACCATCCAACCTCTGTTTTCAATCCGGACTGCCGCCGAACTCCACCAATTTGCTATTCAACAACTGATTTCACCCCCTCCCCTTCTACTGTCGACCGCCCCTATCATCCTCCTCATACCATCCCACCACTACCTTTCCAAAAAACCCACTTCCTAAATACCTTTAAAATGCTCTACAACAGTGGCATCTAGTATTAGAGCCTGACAAACGCTTAAATTTTAGGAATTTTTCTTCTTGCTCCCAAACAAAAAAAAATCTACACAACCATTGACCCACAAAAGAAATTCCTCCATTATACTATAACTATCACTACTATAATTCCTAACCCTAACACTGAGTTTTCAAATGCTAACGTTTTCTACCTCCAACAAAAAATCTCCCCTAACACCAACCACAAAAACCCTAATCACACATCAGCTACAAAATCTGATTGGAAGAAATAAAAATAAAGCCATCTAGGAGAAAAACTCATAGATGTCTAGAAATTGTGTTTTGGATATTAACTATCGTGTTTGTGCTTTGGAGATTTTGTTCTCTGTTTTATGCTCTTTGGAGTGTTGCATTCTCTTCTTTTTACAAATGGTGTGCCCATATCTTGCTTAGGAAAATGTGGTAGATCCTCCTCGCTGAGCCACCATTCCACCTCTGTTTTCAATCCGGACAGCCGCCAGACGCCACCAATTTGCTATTCAACAGCTGATTTCACCCCCTATCCCTTCTAAATGCTGTCGACCGCCCTTATCATCCTCCTCATACCATCCCACCAAGCATTAGAGCCTGACAAACGCATAAATTTTAGGGATTTTTCTTCTTTGCTCCCAAACAAAAAAAAAATCTACACAACCCTTGACCCACAAAAGAAATTCCTCCACCATACTATAGCTATCACTACCATAATTCCTAGCCCTAACACTGAGTTTTCAAATGCTAACGTTTCCCACCTCCAACAAAAATTTCCCCAAACACCTACCACAAAAACCCTAAACCTAAACTAACCTATGATTTGCAATCCCACATCAGCTAGAAATCTGATTGGGGGAAAAGAAAATAATGCCATATAGGAGAAAAACTCGTAGATTTCCAAAAAATTACCATAGTTAATATGCAGCAGAAAATCATCAACTACAACAAAGACTTGTCGAAGACAAGGCAATATAGTGAGGTCTCTCATACCCACAACGACGACTCGACATATCGACATGAGGAAGTTAATTCTACCTCCACTGAGTTTTCAAATGCTAACGTTTCCTACCTTAAACAAAATTCCACCCTAACACCTACCACAAAAACCCTAAACCTAGAACAACCTATGATTTGAAATCCAACATTAGCTGGAAACCTGATTAGGAGAAACGAGCAAAGTGCCATTTAGGAGAAACACTCACAAAGATTTCTAGAAATTTACCATAGAGGACATGCAATAAAAATTCCTTCAACTGCAACAAAGACTTGCCAGAGAAGAGACAACATGGTGAGGTCACTCATACCCACAACGACGACTCGACATATCGACATGAGGAAGTTAATTCCTTCCATCACAAAGTATTCAAAGACGAAGAACCAATACCTCGATGATTTGACATTGAATTTTAGAGAAGCCAAAATTTTGACAGTCGCATGGATCTAAATGAATTCAGGTGGCTGCATACAAGAAAATAATTTTTTTAAGTACAAAGATGTTCTCCAAGACCAAAAAGGTAAATTGACAGCCATCGAGCTTAGGAAGAGTATTTCCTTATGGAGCGAGGACCTGAAGAGGGAGAAGAAATAATAAGATCTCATGGTCCAAGATGAAAAAGAAAATGCGGCATAAATATTTTATGCCGCATTAGCGACGAGATATGATCATAAAACTCCACCATTTGTGCCAGAGGCATTCTTCTATGGAGGAAAACACAACCGAATTTGATCAAATCATATTGAAATGTGAGTTGGTGGAACTAGAATAGTACATAATGATACCTGAGTTAACCAAAATAACAATATAGAAATGATTATTATTGTTTAATTCAAATATGAACTTAAAAGTAAAGATACTGGAAATTAGAAATTACAATAAATGACAACACAAATTATGAATTTTGGCTGGCAAACAAAAAACAAGGTAACAGTTTTGCGAATTCTGGAAAACAAGTACGCAATAGATATCAATGTGACAGGACTGTCCGGGATGATGGCAGCAAAGGGGGGAGGGCAGGAAAAGCAGCAGTTGCGAAGGAGAGCTGGAACAGTAATGACATTGGGTATTGAGGGCGGGAAAGGTGGGGGCAGCAAATAGAAAGGCCTGGAACAACAAGGGCAGCGAAAAGGGAGGACAGTAATGGCGATGGCAAAAGTATGGACAGCTGGAACGGAGATGGTGAATGCGGTGGACTGTCGGACAGCCAAAAGAGGGCTATCCTAGGTGAGGACATCGACGATACAGTAGGAAAACAGCAGACGGGCTGTTGTCAGAGAGGCCTGCAACGGCGAGGAATGTGTGGCAGTGAAGCGGGAGAGATGCGGAGTTGGGGAAGGATAAACACTACTTGGAGACCATGATATAGCTGAAGCACCACCTAGAACCATAAGATATAGCCCTCGAAGGGAAGAAGAGATGTCGACGGTTGTCCAGATACAGAACAAACGAAAAACAAACCATACTGTCACAAAAGAAAAATTATAAAAATAGGATAGCTAAGAGTGGGCCCCTCTACTTGAAAGAGGCGGTACTCCAATAGGAAAAAACATATAACTCTCACAAATGCTGGACCAAATTGGTCTGGGCCGTAGATGTGCATCAAATGCCCGTTCCCGCATCAATTGTTTGCTCCCACACCAGCATCTCGCTACCGCGCTCTCTTGTATCCCGTGTCAAAAGAGACGCTTCTACGTTACATAATAGCAAGGTATCTTGAAGAATTGGGGTTATCTATTGATAAAGTGATATAGTGACAATCATATTGGACATTACTGGATGTTCAAACCTTAACCCTGAAGGTGGAGAGATAATACAACATTATCAGGTCCATATCAGCCTTCAAAAAGGATTCACACGTTGGATAGAGCAATAAAAATACACATAGTGGGGCACCCAAGTCGATCCTGGACGAGGATAAACCTATAGGTAGTGGAGAAGAGGTGAAGATTGTCAGTATTACCAAATTTGTTCTTGCCAAGAAGTGCTTCAAGTGCAATATATTTGGGTATATTGCGCCTCATTGCCCACATAAGAGGATGATTTCTTTCACTGAGCAGGAAACAACAAGAAAAGGATAACCCATGTTAAGAGTTGTTAAATATCCTAATTGATAGTTTATCTTCTGGATGGCTACCACTGACAGAGATTCAACTTGCCATAGACCTCAATCCAAGAATTTTTTTCTGCAAAACCAACTCACCTATGGGATGCAATCAATTGAGTATGAGAAGTTGCAAAACATGTTTCACACATGATGGTTAGAGGCTTGGTTCGTTAGAGTACTAGCTCAGATGCAGTTTCAGTTTTAACTATGCCAAAGAAGAATAATTATTTATCTACCATAATAAACTTTGGAATGCCGTGTTTCAAAGTTACCTAGGATGGATATGAGCATAAATTTTATAGTAAAGTTGCCTCAAACTCAACAAGACTGATTTTTCCATGGGTGTTGTAAACCATTTCTCCAAGAAGACATTTCGTTCTTTGCCACAAGATAATGGATGTACCATATATTACAGTCACAGGCTTGTACTTCAAGGAGATAGTTTGCCTTCATGATATGCCCATGAGCATTACTTCATACAGTGATGTTAAATTCCTTAGCCACTCATGGAGGACTTGTAAAATAAATTAGGCACAAAGCTTTAGTTCAGTTCAACAACTCACCCTCAGACATATGGACAGACATAGGTTATGAACCACAACTTCGAAAATCTCCTTAGGCATTTGTCGGAAAGAACATTCGACAATGGGATCCATGTCCCTCCAAAGACGAAGAATAACCCTCTCTTAGCTAAGGAGAATGATGCAGGAGCATCCAACTGAATCATTGGATCACAAATACTGCAATCCTAATCGCTGGAGTACCTCGATTGCAAGTGAGCCAAAACACACGATTCCGTATATTGCTCAAGAACAGGTGGTGGATCCTCCTCGCCGTCCATTCCTCAACAATTCACCGTTTGACCATTGTTTTCAGTTTAGACAGCAGCCGAACTCCACCAATCTGCTGTTCAACAACACCCCTATCCCATTCCAAACGCTGTCGACTGCCCCTATCCTCCTCATACCATCTCACAACTACTTCTCTGCAAAACTTGCTTCCTAAACACCTTCTAGGAGCTCTAAAATGGTGTCAAATAGACACATTATTTTGACATAGTAAAGTTAGTAATCAACAAAGTAAGCAAATTAAATGCAAAAAGAGACCTGCAACACAGCTAACACGATCCTTGTGCTGGCGGATGCTCTGGACAATCTTTCCTTCTTGTATGGATATTACCTGGAAACTGTTTTCCCAATTGCCACATAAAATCAGATAATTTTCATTAAGGTGCTGAATTGCTGCCATGCATTGTAACCCATAGTCGATGCCATTGGCCGATGAAGTACCAATTTTTCGATTAGGATGCGCATCAGAACCAATCCCGAAAAATGGATCCTGATAGAACATAATTAAAATCCTTCTCAGGAAATCTATTAGCACAAAACTTCATATTAACAATAAATATGCAATTATCATTTCTATTTAAAAAAAAAACCTTTCAGTATTTTTGCTTAGAGAGTTAATGAACAAGTACAATACATAATTAATATAAAAGTGCAAAGATAGTTCCATGGTTATTTACATAAGCTATTTTAGTTCCATAATTTATAAGTGTCCCCGACTCTTTTAATAGGGTCTAAAAAAATCTTCATTTGTGAACTATTCCAACCCATATAAATAGACTTTTGGGGACAAAATTGGCACTTTTATGAACTCTAGGACTAAAATGGCCCCTTGCAAAAAGTCAGGGGACCATTCTGACACTTTTTCTTATTAATGTAATATAAATGTGTGATAAGATGAGGGGTGTAGTAAAGGAGGGCTTGAAAGAACCTGGGATCCAGAAAAAGTGTAGTTTCCCCCACATTTTAACTGCGTTGTCAACCACAATTTCACTGAAAGGATAAGACTCTGGCTTACGACCACAATGTTTGGATCCAGCAGCCCGATAAAAACTATAGCAGATGGGGGATTAGTGGCATTTGAAGTAACAGAGGTCAAAGTTATTGATGAAGGAGCAAAATATAATGGATGAGCGATTGGCATAGGAGGTCCCCTTCTGGGATGTCTTTTGCGAAAAATCTGAATTGGCGTCTGACCAAAGTTGGCTATTTGATCTTCAATTGCTGATCTTTGCAGTGCATCTTCCATGCTCTCCAAATCAACAGCGCCTTCATAGGTCAAGTAATAGAATACATTCGCTGCCTGATTTTAATAAAAAAAAATATAAAAATAAATAAGCTAAGCCTAAAGGCCAAATAAAAGCCATAGAATTTGCATTGAATGATACCTCTACAGCTGGCTTTCCCCTCTGCTTGTAACCAAAAATTAAATCGATCCATAGATGTAAATTAGAACTCACATATTCACTCTCTAGAGCTTCTCGGTTTTTGTAAATAAATTCCTCAGGGGAACCCTGAGACATTTTATTTATTTAAAATCAAGAGGAATTTAGCAAATCTATAAAAGAAATTAAAAAGCACACTAAAGCAATATAAGAGGTTAGAAGAAATAGCATACCAGTTGCCGATTTTATAAAGAAATAAAGGACCGGATTATTTCTAAAATCCTTATTTTGGACTCATAAACTATATGAATTAGAAGCTTTAGAATTCTAGAGGATGTTAATGAAAAAGGAAGCATTGACACACTTCTCAAATATCCTAATAGTAAACTATAGTCATTTTTTTTCTCTTCAATTATTTCAACTTATTTCATTCTTCGAATCATTGCACGATCTAGGAAAAAAATGATATGAACTAGCTAAATTCAGATATTCAAAATAATGAGCTAGATCTCAGAACTTGAATAACTTATAAAGCAGGTTGCTGTTTGGAAAAATTTGCACATTTGGTGCATTGAATTCAATAACAAGTTGCAATGCAAGGATTTATTTAACAGTAAAGAACATTTACATGGATAGAATTTATATTGCATGACCAATGATGCCAGCATATAATAATAAAAATAAAAAAGAGATCCTTCCTGATGATGTCAGCTGTGAATTTGAATTTTTTTGGTACGGAAAATCTCACAAGTGCCTAGAAAAAAGATTTTTTTTTCCTACTTTCATTGCTCGCTTTTATAGGCATATATAAAAAGAAATAAAATAGAGAATAGAAACCATCAAATATGCATTCCTCTAACTTACGAGTTCGACAAAATATTTAAGAGTTAGACTCAAAGAAACAGAAATTCGGAATTCCTCCATGGAAGACTTTCCAAGTCATTCATAGAACACGCAACAGACAGTTAATCATGTTATAGAGTATATTAGATCAACAGTAATGAATTAATGAATCAAAGAAGGTTTTCCTGAAATACCTAAGACAACAATACTGAGAGTTTTCATACCTTGGCCCACGGGGGAAGAACAACATCAACTATAGCTTCACCATCTTGCTTCACACCAAAATGATATGAATTTGAATTAACTAGAAATTCTGGCATGTAGAAGAATTCTGGTATGAGTTCCTTCACATCGCTCGTATTGGAAAGGCAATTACGATAAGTTCCCTCTATGCTATGGAAAAGACGATCTGCATGATCAAATTTTCCACCCTGACCAATAAACATGCTAAAACTAATTAAGCTCAATGACATAACGATAGACAAAACAAGCACAGGGAAGAAGATAAAAATAAGTTGCAACACCTGCAAGTTACGGTGTAATGCGGTAAAAGGCTCCATTCTAAGCAGGTAGAAAAGTACAATTCCCATGCTGGAATAATGTGAACCATAGTAAAAACTGCAAGAATCATTACATATACGTTAGCATATGCAACATTCTTTAAGATACGAAAAAGTGCAGATTCTTAAAAGCATATAAATGACGACCTAGGAATATCTGGGTCAGCAAAGTTACGAAATCTGTCCTCAAAAACCTACATTTAAAAGAAACACGGTTATATGAAAGTATTTGAAAATAGTTTTCTATCTAAAAGAATAAACCGTGAAAATTCAATCCTGAGTTTAGAATGAAAATACCTCAAAACGTTTGGAGTCCAGAGCACCAACTGGTTTTGAGAGATCCCTAAAAGTAGAAGACTTATTGAAATCAAGCTTCTCAGATGAATAATCAGCCAATACCCAGGGAAAAATGGGATACTGGGTCAAATCATTGTAGGATCTCCCAGCAAATGTATTAAGAAGCATCAAATATTCAAAGTTGCTTATTTCTCTTCTTCTCCAACTCTCTCTGAATTTTTCAGCCATTTCAAGTGCCACGCGCCGGTCAACAAGAGAGATTATTCCACTTCTGCCGTTGGAACTTGCTTTTGGAAACAAAAATTCATTCCTCAAAGAAACTACTAAGGTACCGACATGCTTAGCCTCATTGGGTGTCACAAAATTCAAGAAAATTGGAGCAGCTGAATCATTGAAGAAAATCTCTATTGCAGTGTATTGTAATAAATAGCGAGTCCAATGGACAGATTTTATCTGACAGTATCACAACTTACAACTTAAGAAATGAATACACAAAAAAAATAATATACGCTTGAACACAGAGAAAGAAATTGCAAACAGAATTTGAAAGTTATCCACCTTTGAAAAATTCCACCTCCGGTGCAATTTTATTTTATCGGGTTTATTCTGTAGCAAATCACCTGTGGCCAGAACATCAAAGGCATTGTCCTTTCCATAGTTTGATTCAAAACTCATAGATCCCATGCGTTGTTTCTGCTTGTCTGCCCCATTCAGCTGATCAGATTTTGTTGAATCTAAGATGTTTCCGTCGAAAAATTTGTTTAAAACAGAAGAACCACCCGTTCCTTTTACTAAAAACTGACCGGTAAAATGTAAAACTTTTTCCATGACAAATAAACGCCCTACAAGTTTTCTTTTTGGTGAAATAAGAACACAAGATGTCGACAAGTGAACCTGAAAAAAAAGAAGCAAGAGCTGTAAGCATAATCATTTTGAATGTTGACAATATAAATAGACAAATAAATACCTCATCTGACTTGGTCCCTGCAGAGACAGACTGTAAATCTTTCATATCAATGTCGGTATTATTATTGCCATCTTTTACATAATCTGAAACCTGGTCCGAAGAACTATTGAGATCAGGGTCTTTAACAGAATTCAAGTCCACATACTCATCAGGTAGATCGACCGACCTCTCCTCGATTATACCACGCACCCCTTTTAAAAGAAAGTGTTTCATCTGTTCAGGGAAGTTGCTCTGTTTGTCGCTTCCATGTCGTTCGTTGGGTTGATTAGAAGATTTATTTGCTGGAGGATAGCAAAGTTTTTCATCAAATTTGTAATTCCGCTTCAGTTTTAGTCTACGTCGCAAATTATCTTCCGTCTTGTCAAGCTTCCAATGGGTTACATTACTGTTTGGAAAAGGATATGCAGACCAAGGACCTCTCTCGTCAATTAATTCGCGAAACATATGGACCCACTTATCCTGGAAGAAAAAACAAAAATTTCCTAGAAATTAACATTTTGATCAATGCATAAAATGAAAGAAAGGGAGGTAATAGATTCTATTGGTGAGAACTTTTTACAGCGACAATTTGCTGGTCTTCATCATAAGCAAGCTGAAAAGCAGCCTTTCTACTGTCATCTGATGAAACAATCATATTCATAGCAGAGATCAAATCTTCTTCAAAAGTTTTCAGCTGGTTCTGTTCAGCAAGAGAAAACTCGTCTATTTTAGCATGAAGTTCCAACACCTGCTTTATGCGATCAGCTTTCGCAGCCTTTATATATTTTGCTTCATCAGTAGCCTGCACGTGTATCAAATTTTTTAGATATTAAGCTGCTCAACACACAAGCCAAGAAAGAAACAAATCTACTAAAAAGAGAGATAACGGCCTTAAAACCCTCATGTCCCGGGTTTATATGTTTTGCAATGTGTATTCATCAGGAGAAATAAGAATATAATAACAATAAACTTTAATTCCCTTGCAGAGCGGTGAGGTCACATTAAAAAGGAACATATTTAATTTTTTTGAGAAAACAATTAAAATGAAAACCAGACTATTCATAGGGGGCCAAAATGGTCTCAAACTATTTAAAAAGTCAATTTAGTCGCCAGACTAAAAGGGATTAAAATAATTACCAATATCATTAATTGAAAACTAAAACAGTCTAACTGGGTGACCATTTTGGTTCCTATTTAAATAGTCTATGGAACGGATTGGTCTATCAGATAATCCGGGACCATTTTAGCCCCTTGCAAATACTTGGGGCACTATTTTCATCCATTTCTCATTATTTTTGTATAAATTTTTCAGATTAAAATAAATGCCAAGGTCACCCAGCAACACATTCACATATATTGAAAATTTAAACAAAGACAGTATCCTCATACCGCTGCAAGAACTCTTTCTCTTTGAATCAGACTAAGAATAAATCCAGCTTCCTTTGTATTGTTGGTAACTTCGAATGAATCATCCCTGCCCAAAATACTCGTGGCAAGAATCAACTTTCCATGGTTCACTATTTCAAGAATCAAATGAGATATAACATGGAAACGGGCCCCATCATCAAGCATTCCATGCTGTGATCTCACAGCAAGCAGAGACCTATACCATAGATAGCTATCACATTAGAATGCAAAAAGAAAAGAAAGGGCTGATTCAGAAAGATGTCAAATGACGTAGATCATATATTATTAAATTTATCGGGCATTTACACACATGGCACCCAATTCCTATGTATTTACATAAATTTAGGTGTTAGACATGTAAATGAATAAAAATTGACTGGTATGTATGTATGTAATCTTCATAAATTTATTTGCCATCAACTTGATGATATACAGAAAGTTACCAAATCAGAAAATGTAGCTTGTTTCTGCTTTGATCATCATCACATGAAAGAAGAGAAGGAAGCAATGAAATAAACTGTTGAACGCATCGTGATGCCCTTTCTAGACCAGCCTTAGAAAGATATAGGATTAAAAGATGGAATACTATCCTTGGACATTTCTCCCCTCTTAAAAGCATTGCTTTATCAACATATTTGCTCGGTTTAGTACCCAATGCAGTGCCAATTCCACCAGAAACAACTATGGCAGCCATTTCCGCAGCAGGTTCAGCGATTCAACCAATCCACGAGCACGTTGACCAAAAGTTGGACCGCTAAAATTTGTACTTTTTGTCAATGCCTTGGTTGGTCCTCCTCCGCTCATTTCACTTATTAAATGCCATAGTTTGTCATACAAAACCCAGCGATCATCCTCTATAAGACCACCTTCCTCAGAAATAGTTTTGCAACTCCAACGAGTCCTATAAATGATTATGGGATAACAATTCTCAAAAATATGAATAGAAGTATATGAAATAATGCTATTAAGTAAAGAAAGATATAAAAAGAATTATAAACATTACACAACTTAATTGCATCATCCTGGTCAGCCTTTTAGCTAATTCATGAAAAAAAAACCTGATAAATGGTTGTTCAAATTTTTTTTTGGTGTAATTTCCTGCGTTTTCTTTTCTCTCATGTTTTTTGAAAAATTTCATTGAGTTGTGTGAGTATTATTTAAGTTTGTTAATTCTCATTACAGTTTCTAGGTAAGCATGCCTTAGGTCAGCCTAACCTAGACTCATTGTGGACCACGGTTAATAGCAACGCTCGGGTTGGCAAGTATGACAACCAAACACAAAGCCAAAAACAAAAATAAATAGATTAAAAAACACAGAGCCAAAAACAAAGGTAATTAGATCAGCTAACATCAAATGCATCTTTCATTACTTAGTCCACAATAATTGGTTTGAGGTCTAGCAAGAAAAGGTCACTGATGGCAAAGAGTGAGGGCTTTGATAGACTTTCAAGTTATCCATCATAATATTTGAGTTATAAACTTAATTGTGAATCTGTCACTTGTTAATGGGTCTCAGTGTCTTTTTTAAAAGGACAACTTTGGTATTTTTATTAATCCATCTTAGAATAATTATGTTGTTTAAAATCAGATATATATTTAAACATTACACATGAACATGAAAATTGATGGATTTTAATGCAAATTCCCTGCATCATTTTCATCGCGTTATGTGCTTAATCCCTCCTTCCCAGCTTGTGTGCCCGACAACCGTAAGTAATGTAGTGGGAATAGGTTTTATAATGGGTAGACCTTATGCATTGAGTAAATATTTCTTTTTCTAGTTCTGGATTTCTGCATAAGTTTCGTAGTATTCCACATTAATTAGAATTTGAATCTAATCTCATTCAGGAAATTCTTCGTAAGCATTAAATCATCAATTGAGTTTTCATTAATATATTCCAAGGACTGTGATTTCATCTTCATCATCTCCATCTTCTTCGTTCAGTTCATCATAAGATTTGCACCTTGCAGGACAAGGACATTAAAATAAAAAAATTGCTTTCATCAACTCACTCCCCCCCAATAATCTCCCTCGCATTTCCCCTCCCAATTAATTTCATCCATTTTCTTTTATTCATCATCCCCGCGAGACACTGATACCGGAGGAAACCCAAACCATAATGAAAACAGAAATATTATTGCTGAATTTCAAGGGATTACAAACAACGACACTTGCAATAAGAAAACACGATACAAACACAAAACTAGGACGTGGATCGAGGTGTTGGTATTGCGGCTGTATGTGGGGTTGAGAGAGATGGCAGCAAGAAGGTTAGGAGGGGCTTGTTAACCTCATTTTTGTGAGGTCTTTCCTTCTACTTCCTAGAGCCCAGGATCTAGCTCTAAGAGTTTCCTATTGACTATCTTAGAAAACCAGCATTGAAACCTGTCCCCTTAGAAATTCCAAAGCATTTGTTATTTTCCTCTGATGTCTAGCATTTATTGTCTCAAAACTAGCGTCTTATGGACGAGCGGTTAAAGGCTATTGTGTGGAGACTCAGAGAGAAGTTTCCAATAGGATTTCAAGCCCTAGAAAAACCTTATCAAGACTTTATCTTCATATACCAAATGAATAAAATTCACTAAGTTGCACAAGATCAGACTTAAATTAAGCCCAAAGGATGGATGAAAATGCAAACTTCTCCAAATGACCTCCGATGACGAAATGGACTGCGCCAAAGCGTCCGGGACACAAATTTTAGTAGGAAAGGACACCCATATTATTGTAATTTCCGACACGATAAAATTGCACGCAAATCGATGAATCCATCAAAAAGACCTCTGATGATGAAACGGACCGCGTCAGTGCGTCCGGACGTCAAAATTACCTAAAGAAGATATTCAATTTTCTACAATCTAAAGCACAAATAAAACGCATAAATCAAATTTTATTTTTGAAATATTAAATATTTTTTATTTTAATATTTCTTATTATAATAAAATTATAACCCTAATCCTATTTTCCCCTCACTCGCACACTTAACTCTCCATTTTGGCTCGTCCCGTGATTCAATTGAAGCTTGGCTCGCCCCCCTCGTGCCCCAGCTTCCGCACACCTCTACTCGCTCGATCCAGCCGCACAATTGCCTTCCCCTCTCTCGCGATCGGCCGCACCCGAGCAGTTCGTGCGTCTCTTTACCCGATCGTGTGCCCTAGCAAGTGATTCCTCTTCTTCTGCATGAGCCGCTCGACCGAAAGACTCTCCAACTGCGAAGTTCCACATGGTCGGCTCTTCCTCTACCCTAGGCTGCATTTCCTCTTGCCTTAAATTCTTCTCCTCCTCTCCCTTTACCTGATTTGCTTACCAGGGAGGCTGGTAGGTCGCTTCTCCTCTCTCCTTTCTTTGCTATAAAAACCCCACTTTGGGGAGGTCCTTTGGGGAGGTCTAGGGTTCTAGGGTTGGCCAAAAAATTCTGAGAAGGGGAGGTGCTACCATTTTTTTTATTCATCCCGTGTGTTTGAAATATTTCTGGAATTTTTGTTTTTTCTTGGGTAAAGTCTGAAAGGGAGGAGAAAAAGTTGTTGCATCCTTGGTTGCCTATTATTGGACTCTATTAGTCGTGCACATTCGCTGCTGTATTCTCAAGGCTTTTATGAGACTTGTGCTTTTGCATCAAGGTTCCTAAGGGAGTTTTTTTTGCTGATTTTATCTTCTTAGGCTGGTTCTTGAGTTTACTATTGAATCTAAATCAAGAGGTAATCTTTTTCCTCCTTTTTTCTGCAAGTATTCAAAGGAAATATTTGATTCTCATGCCTTGAGTTTAATGTTAGGAATGAGAATGGTTATAGAATTGGGGAGCTGAAACATATGAGTGAAATGCATAAATTAAAAATACATTTTCTGAAAAATGTGAAGGATGGTAGGGAAGCTTGCACAATGAAATTATTTGAGAAAAGAAAAGTTTAAATTTATTCTCAATTTGGGGCTTAGTGTTGGCTCCTTGTGGCTATCTTCTTTGTTCAAATTGCATGTTGGGTATAAATTTAATTTTTCAGATTTCTTGTGTTGTCATTTACTTATTTGAAATATATGCTGATGAAATAATTGTTGCTGCCCTTATTTGAAAAGCATGTGAAAGCAAGACTTGGGCTTGTTTTAAGATTTAAAGCATGAAATAATTCTTATAAACATTACAATATAATATGAATGGGCTGCTTTTGTTCTTCTTGCTTGAGATATTTGGAAGTATCATAATGGTGGTTTTGAAATGAAATTTGCCCCTCTAGAAATGCATGGTAGAGTGGATTATCAAAGCTTTTTTTACTCATGTTCAAAATGAATGTTGAAGAATGTTGGGTTGGCTCTAAAAAAAAAGAGAAAGGAGAGATCTACTCATGCTTATCTATTTCATGCTACCTATCATTATTTGAAACATATGTTGAAAGCATTTTTTTTATGTGGTGGGTTTCGGTCTTAGCTCATTTCGGAGAAACAAATGCTAGAAAATTCCTATTATTTTTGGGCTCGGTTTCATCCCTATGTTGTTCGTTTCTTTTTGCCACTGATTTAGTTTCGGTTTTGGTTATGCTGGATTAAAGCTAGCTAAATTTTTTTTATGTTTTAGCCCATTGTGAGAGGCTCGGTCTTGGCTTCATAATAGTTGAAAATGACATTTCATTTAGCTCACTTGTTGGGTTCGGCTTTAACTCTTTTTGAGATGGATTCTTGCAAGAGATATTTTCATTTTTTTTGCTCATATGTTGGGCTCGGTTTACCCATGTGTTGGGTTCATTTTGGGTTGGGTTCATTTTGGGCTGTGTTGGGTTCATTTTGGGCTTGTTTTGAATCAAATTATAAATTGGATTTTTTTTTGTCCTGTTTTCCCCATATGGTTGGGCTCGGTTTGGCTCCTTTTAATGGGAATTTTTTATAAAAATATTTTCTGTTTTAGCTCATTTGGAGGGCTCGGTTTAGCAGTTTTGTTCCTATGCTGGAAGGTTGTTTTGACCCGCTTAAAGGGCTTGGTTTTGGTCATATTAGATGAGAATCATACATGAGGATTTTCTCTCTTTTGGGCCCCTTTGGTGGGCTCAATTTTAGCTTCTTTCGATATTATGCCTTGGTTGAGATCTTTGTTGTTTTAGCCTTGTGCTGGGCTTGGCTTGCCCCTGCGCCGGGCTCGGTTTGGGCTTCTTTTAGTGATTTATGTTGGTTAGAATCTCTTATTGCTTGAACTATTCTTTGGGTTCGGCTTAACACTTTTATTGGGCATAGTTTAGTTGGGGCCTTCTCTTCAATGCTCCTCCTCCTAAGATTTTTTATTGGTAATCAAGTTTGTCATCCAAAAATGCATGAATTTCAATACCTATCGCTATGTGGGAATGTTTGGAATGTTTAGTTTGAGCATTGTTGGGATGAAAGTGGGTTCAGTCCTGAGGATCTATAATGGCTTGTCCATTCACTCTCTTATGTATATCAAATACAATGTGCTGGTATTACCTATTGTGACTTCCTTTTCGACTGACTTGGCCGTGAGCCTTACTCGGTGTTTGCTACCTTTGTAGTCCTCTTTTTGCTGCCCCTTTATCCATGAGCCTTGCTGCAGTGATTCTTTGGTCTTGTGACATGGTTCGGGTTTGGCTCTCTCTTTGTTACCCCTACCTATAAGCTTTTGCCCTATTTCTTGTTTTAAATTGTGGACTTATGTTGAAGTTTTGTTGTGCATTTCACAATTTTTGTTTATGGACTTGTTGTGAGGCTTGGTTGCCTTCCTTCCTGGTCTTACCCGTGAGCCCCACTCTTCTTCCTAGTCTTACCCATGAGTTGCTCTAGGCTGTTTGGGAGATGGTTTTTGGTTGTTTTGCTCCCTTTGCCATGCTCGGCCGTGAGCTGTTTGGTGGTGGGTTTTGTGGTTGTTTAGTCCCTTTTATGGGCCTTACCCCTTTTATGGGCCTTATATAGGCCTTACCCGAGAGCATATATTTGATTTCTTTTATGTAATGTTGGATGTATATCTCATTGTAAACTTTTGATGAAGGATGTAATTAAATTATTTTGATGATGAAATTAAATGAATTTTAGACGTTGGTATGATTTTCTGGAAGGCTAGAAGGTTACATCCTCTATTGGTTTGCACCCCCCCCGAAAGTTTTTGAAAAGATAATATGAAGGCTTGATAAATATAAACATCACATTTAGGTTCAAATTTGGACATAAAAATTCATATGAGTGATTGAGTTGTAAGTATAGCGTTATGATAGTCTTGAACCCATTTCAATCTATTTGAAACAAAGACTTGGAAAGGATACCCTTCATGGGTTGATCCAATCGTAAGAGTTGAGAAAATGATATTCTTCTTGGATTGATTCAAGGATTTTGGGCTCTCTTTTGAGGATTATTTCACCCTTCTGGTCTTTTGATCTTTTGGGTGAATCAATTCCTCCTCTCTCATCCCCATTTTTATTCCTTTTTTTCCTTGCTTCTTGGTTCGGTTTTCTGTGCTTATGTCCGTTACATAAGTGTTCATGTATAGCCTTTCGCTATATGTGAAACCATCAAGCAAGGTCACAAGTAGTTCGATTTTGTTTTGGGGCATAAGGAGATGATGATAAATGCACGCTGGTGGTAGAGCAAAATGATATCTCATCCTACAACACCAGGACTCAATCCTGAGATCTGATGAACTATAGGACGGAAGTATCATTCACCGACATAAGACTAGAGAGGGACCCGTACCTTCTTAGGTTGTTGGTAGTCTTAGGTCCGATGACGTGATCGACTTGTGGACAACTATACCTTTTAAAATTAATAAAACAAATTGATAATAAAAGATACAATATTTATAAAAAAATATTTTCAATAAAGATATGAATTTTCTTTTGTATGGTTGAAATATATGTGCATGCTAAGACTTAAATTTTAAATATTTATAAAAAATATTTTCACTAAAATATTTACAATTTCAATTTTTGTAGTGAAATTGATATGAATTTTCTTTTGTATGCTTGAAATATATGTGCATGCTAAGACTTAAATTTTAAATATGTTACAATTAGGTTGTCCACTTATTGATTACAAATCCTGGGCTAAAGAGTACCCTCCTAAGTTAGGTTCAGTAGAATATCCTTCTAGTGGAGTGGTGGACTTTATACATCCGGGTGAATGAGTAGCCTTCGACGACCCTCGAGTACAAATATATATTTGAGCCTAGCCCTGACCCGAGTGCTTGCGGTCACCTCTTTTCGGACTTTTTCATATGTTTTTCTTGAAATTTTTGGACAAAACACTCGTGGTCTTTTCTCCGGGATTTTCCTGAGGTTTTTGATAGCTTTATTTGGATTGTTATTTGTCAATTTTCTCGAATTTTCCGTCAGGGATTATTTGTCGATTTTCTCGAGTTTTCCAGGCAATGTTTCTTTTGTTTATACAGTGAATAATAGATAACTTAAAGGAGCTGCAGACTTCCCAAATTTACAGGTGTGATTTATATTGCAGCATTTTTATTTCTTAGCATTTTATTTCTTAGCATGTTGTATTATAGCATGTTGTATTACTCTCCTAACATGTTATACTGCTTTTTCTAGTATGTTATACTGTTCTTTCTTTTTACTGTACATTCTACTGTTCTTTTCTTTTATACTGCATGTTTTGTTACTTTGATACACACTATAGCTTAGTATAGAAATACCTAGTGGTTATATAGGATTAATATTAAACCTGGAGGTGCTACGACGGAGAGCTTGGAACGAACACCGTGGGCAACATGACGAAGAGCAACTTCAAGGTAGATTATCAACATCAAAACACTTTCACGTTCACACCGAACACTTTCATTAGTTTAAATAACAACTCGTAGGAGTTCGAGATGGTTTGCTTAGTGCAGCGTAAACCCTCACATATCACTTTTAGGCCTTTGCAAAACCCTGTTGTGCAATTATATGACCTAACACTTTAGGATTTCGAGTTTACCGTACGGTACAGTGTAAATCCTCTTATGTTTTTAGGTTATTTGCACGATCAGATATCGCACAAATATAAGCCCTAAATTCTAAATAAATTGCAGAATTAAACATTAAGTAACATTATTTCAAAGACATAAAGTCAAACAATAGGATAGTTGGAGGTCACTGGGGTTCTCCCTGGATCTGTGATATCCCCTACTCTTCACTTCTTTGGAATTCTAAAAATAATTGTTCCTATTTGAGCCACTCCCGTTTGATTTTCCCGCATCCAACATCCAATCTTAGAAACCTAAATTTTGAAATCTAGAAGGTAAAACCACTGATCTTAATCGAGAGTTTTCTTGAATGATCCCGGTCATTTGAGAAGTAATTAACTATAAGGGTTTGCCTGTATAGGGAACTTGAAACCCAGGTAAAATAAACCCTATCTAATCCTCATATTAGGTAGGGGAACTTGTTGGCTTCATATAAAATATTTAGCAGACAAAACATATGTCACAAACTCTTTAGTTTAAGTGATTGAGCCTACTACAAGTGATATGTTTATTCTCCGGGATAAGTGTATTACTTGTGGTATCGTGCTTAGTCATCCAAACTATTTAAAATGTGAGACTTTAAAATGTGAGACTCGTTTGGAATCAAAATGTTACTTTCAAAAAATCATATTTCCTTTTAAACTATTTTCATACTTTTCTCCTTTTAAACTATTTTCATACATTTTCATACTTTTCAAAAAAATAAAATAACGGCCGACAGGGCTATGCGGCTACTGCAGTGGGGAAGAAAAGAGAGAAAACTGCGGTTGGGCTGCATAGGGTTCGACTGGAGTGGGGGAAAGGAAAGGGTGAAGGTTATTATTGGGCTGTTGGAGTTGGACTTTAGTGGGGAAGGAATTGGGGAACAGCCGCTGTTGGGCTGCAGATTGGACTGTAGAGGGTAAGAAAAGAGTGAAGGCTGCTGTTGGGCAGTTAGATGGGGAGTAGTGCACTGAGGTAGGAGTTATGGGAAGGAAGGGACTGTCACGGGAAGGGTTTGGGTGGTGTGCTGTCCCGGGAGGAATGGAGGGTGTTGGGGCTGTCATGGGAGGAGGGCCTGCTGGTGGGAAGGGAAGTAGAACAGCAGCAGGTTAGTGGCCCGATACAGGGGAAAGTTGGGAGAGTTACAGGAGGTAAGATGAGCCCTGGATGGAGTGCGGCTGGGGGTGTTCTCACGAGCGAGGGCTGCAGCACAGGGAAAGGCAGGGAGAGCTGTGGGGGTGGAGGTGGAGGTCAGAGAAGATAATCACCACCGGAAAGAGAGATACAACAAGAGCACATACAACCCTAAAGAGGAAAACAGGATGCCGGTGGCTGTCCTCACAAATCTGAAGTCAGAAATAACATAAAACTGAAACATTAAGACCTAAAAGCACATATAATTAGAAGTGGGATGGACAGAAAATTAAAATAGGAAGCAGAAAAATTCCGGCCTCATGAAAAGAGGGAGGGAGACCCCTCCCAAGTTCGGGCCAAACCGGTTCAACTTTTTAGTCTACACTAATAATATTCTAGCTATTGTCCATCCACTTTACAAAACCACCCTAAAACCATCCCAATTTAAACTTCAATACAAACAAGCTCAAAAAACCTAAACCCCTCACATTTGAAATCAGATAGAAAAACAAGTTTAACCTAATTCTAACCAATTCCACATACCATCCATAAACAAGCCTAAAAGTCTCTCTTGCATGAGAAGAAAAGCACACTCCAGGCGTAACCTTCTCTTCTTGTGACTCATTAAAACAGCTAACCCTATTCTCATTCAAAGAGTCCGAACTATCCAACAAGCCTCACGTAACACCAGCTCAATCCACTTAGAATTGATACTTTAGATTGATCCAACTAAATTCAACCCAACCCAAACGAGTTTAGCCCAACTAACTCAACTGGCCAAATCTGAGGGTTTAGAGTAGACATATCGGATTAAAGATTATGTCATAATTCTACCTTCAAGTTAACGTGTCATATTTATTTTATGGGCCATTTATGCTATGCCTCGGGTTGCTTTTATGTGTATTTTTATGGTATACGCCATTTTCTTTTAGGACTTTTTTTTTAACTTTTTTTTTTTTATTTTTGACGTAGGATAATTTTTTGTTAAAAATATTTTGCTATCAGAAAGGGACTAACAGATAAAGTTACCAGTACATAGAAACAACATTATCAATCCATGTGTCTGTGAATTAAGGTGACTTCTCAGTTGGAAAAGGAATCAAACTACAGAACATCCTTTAAATAAAAAATAAAAAAAAATACAGAACATCCTAAACAGATTCCCAATTAGAAAGCGCATGGTCTAGCCAGTTTTCAGTATCATGAAAGAAAAAATACATATACCACAAACAACGTGAACGCATACCTTGGAAGCTTATCTTCAGACTCAGGATTCAGTATCTCAAGAACAGCAGAGCTTATGTATTTCTGGTTCTCCACATGTTGAAAGCTGGATGAAGCGTTTGATGAGATGGAAATTTCAGGAAACTACAACAAAAAGATTTAGCAATTTAGGATGTTTAAAAATTATAATTTATAAAAAAAATATGGATACTGTGTAAGAGATAAAATCAACTAATCTTATAAGGAAAATAAATTTATCTGAATACCAGAATTTTATCACCACTTTCACTGATTAAAAGTTCATCTGCCAGTTTCAAAAGGTACAAGGAATTGTCCCGGCAGGGCTGCGAAACATATATGTTTCCATCTGAAGACACTTGTAAGAGACCGTCAATTAAGTCTTCCAATATATATCTGAGCAAATTAGTATGTAATACTTCTTCCTACATTTAAGCAGATCACAGTGATAAGGTATGATATAAAAGAAAATAACCAAATAGTAAAGCAATAGGCATGCTCTCGAAAGTACATTTTCATATTTTAGCAATAAAAAGTTGACAGTCTCCTCCAACCGCTGCCAACCACCCTTCACAGAAAATAGATAATGCAAAAGTACAATATAGTATAAATTTCTTAAAAGTACTATTTCGTTAATCCTCGATGCATCATTTTGGCTATCTATTTCCCTTTCAGTGTCATTAAACATGACGAGCTTCAATGAAGTTGCTAACCAGGAACTCCAAGCAATTTCCTGAATGAAAAATTAATCTTAAATTATCATCCAAGACAATAAACTTTGCTAATTTGATAAATAGTTACCATTAAAGCTTCAATATTTGAAAGATCTGACTGAAGAAGATCAAGCAAGTCTCCTAATATTTTTGTCCTTACTGCAACATCATGGCAACTGGCCAAATATTTGAAGATGCATACAAGAATTTGAGGGACAAGAAAATAAGAAGAGAAACCTGCTGAGCCCTGTTTCTTTTTCTTTGGATTTTCAGAGGAATTGCGTTTCTGTAAAACCTGTAATTAAAAGTCTATAATCATATCAAATTATTCCATTAAGAGAATTGAATGCCTCTTTATGGATTAGAAAGAAAGCACCTCCTTTAACAAATTAACCAGCATATAGCCTTCAATACATTACCTGTTTTGGGCTTGCTCCCCCAAGAAGAACATCAAACAAGGTGGCATACAAATGATCAGACAAAGGGAACGAAAAAAGTCTCTCAGATATTGCCGAGTAAACTTGTCGAATTGTCAAAGCTTCGTCTTTTCTGAAATTATCTGAGACAGATTTTGCACGCCCAACAGAGAGGTTAAAAAATTTTGTTTCTTTCTTCTCAGAAATAACTCCAACTAATAATTTTCCAAGGATCTGCAAGCCTAGTAGCCTAATTGGTTCAAATTCCCTGTGAGGAACAGTAGGATTCAAGTTAATACAAACATGAGCAGTTTCTAGAGGTAAACAACCAGTGAGAGCTGCACAGGACCAATAAAATAAGGAGAAAAATGTTCACCCTTCATGCACCTTCATTCCACTGCAAGTAATACCGGAGTTAACCCAAACGACACCAAGGAAAATAAATAATATTACTAAAAATAAATAAATGGTAACAACTAACACACTTGAAAAGGGAAATATAATAACAAGACAAACAGACACCACTAAAGTGTATCCCAAGAGTGATGGAGGTCAGCTAGGTAGATCAGAATTGTTGACGGGGGAGGCAGTAGCAAAATAATGCTGGTGGCAGCGAGGGGGTGGTGCAAAAATGCAGGGACAACAAGTATGAAAGCTGTCCTGGGTAATGGAAGCGAGGGGTTTGGGTGGATAGCAGCAGGGCAGCAGGTCGGAGCACTCCCTTGCTGTCCTCGGCGGCAGAGACACGGTGGAGAGCTGGGACAGAAGGAGCAAGGGGGTGTTTGGGCGGTAGCAACGCCAGAAGGGAGGGGGAGGCGGCTGGGAGGCTGGAAATTGCATAAAACAACAATCAAAATGTTGTTGTGGGCGACTGCAACGAGATACGACAATCGGGAGAGCTGTGGGAGGATGTGGAAGGGGTAAAAGAAAAATAATCACTACCTCGGGAGAGAGATATAGCCGGAGCACCACCCAATCCCTCGGATACAGCCCTCAAAGGGGTAAACAAACGCTGGCTACTGTCCTGACATAAATCTAAAATCTGAAAACAAAAAACTAACCCTACCTAAAGCAAACAACACCTATATGAATGAGGTAGACAAAGTAAGTGGTAGAAAAGCAAGGGCTAGACAAGACAAGGAATTAAATAGGAGGTAGAAAGGTTGGACTGAAGTACTGTAGCATCTACAGTACTTCAGTCCCCAGTAAGCTCCTGCATCAGCAAGCTTAAGCAATATACATAGTTGCATATCACCAAAAAACTTAAATATATATGAAGTGAGCAACCTAATATAATTATTCAGCCAAATGAAGCTGTTAATATTCAAAAATAGCATTGAAAATTTTATATGTGCTTGAAACCTCCAATTCTTAGTTTCACTATTATGTCAATGATACTTTCCGAAATACAAGCTTTCAATGTACATAACGTGACATTCAAGTGAAAAAGAACACAACAATCTAGAAATTGAAAGGATGCCCATTGAAAATTATTAGATCATGGTAAAAGAATGTAATGGCATCTTAAGAGTTTACATTTACTATTTTTGAAATTAAAGTTCATGGCAAAGAGCTCAGTAAGAAAATACATCTAAGTAAGTTTATTTAATTTATTTGGTTTAGATTTGGAGGGAATTCTATCCTTTTTTAAGATGGACATTATTAGTTTCTACCAATGCTCTAGTTTCCTAGGGTCAAGTCTTGTCGCATCGTATTTATCATTTGCAAAACCTAGAATGTGAAAAGTTTTATTCTTCCTTTGATTGATTTCTTTCCCTCTACCAGAGACATCAATTTACTATAAAAACTATCAACGCAATGTGTTCTCTGATGCAGAGGAGAAGCTAAGAAAATATACGTCAATTATAGACAAGGCATTTAACTTTTCATGATCAGTGAATAAATGAATAGGTTTGAAGCCATTAAGAAGTTAAAAAATATCTTTTAAAAGGTTGAAGATAAAAAATAACTTATAGAGCAAACCACCAATCATATAATTAAAATATTTTTTGAAAATCAAGTCGAGAAAGAATTTTTCCCATCATGAAGATAAAAAGATCTTACTAATATTATTAAAAAAAATTATTTTTTTCAAAATTAAATTTTTAAGAAAATTTTACATTTATTATCATATATAGTAAAATCAGATCTACAACAACAACAACAACAACAAAGCCTTAATCCCACTACGTGGGGACGACTACATGAATCCTTTGTCTCCATTGCGTCCTATTTAGTGTCATATTATCATTTATTTCTAATAAATTAAGATCAATTTTTATACAATAAGCCCAAGTTTTCCTAGGTTTACCTCTGCCTTTCTTAACAAACATAAATAAAATCAAAACCATCCACTCACCTAATCGGATTATCAGACGGTCGACGTTTAATGTGACCAAACCATCTAAGACAACTTTCTCTAATTTTGTCTGTCACTGGAGCTGCATCAACCCTAACACAAATATATTCATTTCACATTTTGTCTCTAAGTGCATAGTCACTCATCTGCCTAATCATTCTCATCTCGATAACACTTAACTTAGTATTATGCTTCTCTTTTAAAGGCCAACATTTAGAGCCATAGAGCATTACAGATCTCACCAACATCTTATAAAATTTTCCTTTCAGTCTAAGTGGTACTTTTCTATCACACAAAAGGCCCGAAGCATTCCTCCACTTCAACCAACCAACTTGAATTCTACCATTAACATCCCCATCTATATCTCCATCGCTTTGAATAACAGACACGAGATATCTAAATCGTTCACACCTTTAATAATTTGATCACCCAAAGTTACACTTCTGTGACTAGAGCTACTACTACTAAAATTACATTCCATGTATTCAGTTTTAATTCTACTCAAATGAAGGCCTTTAGACTCTAATGTAAACCACCATAATTAAAGATTTTCTTGGGCTTTTTCTCTCATCTTATCCACAAGAAGGATATCATCAACAAAAACATACACCAAAGTACATCCTCCTGTAAATGTCTAGTAAGACCATCCATAACTATAGCAAAAAGATATGGGCTTAAAGCCGATCCCTGATGTAATCCAACAGAAATAAGAAAATATTTGGTCAATCCTCCTTCAGGTCGAACACATGTAACAACTCTAGTACACATCTTTAATGACTTGAATATAAGTCATATCAACACCTTTCTTCTCAAGAACGCTCCAAAGGACATCACTTGGAACCATATCGTAAGATTTTTCTAAATGAATAAAAATCAAATATAGATCCTCCTTATTCTCTTTGTACTTTTACATCAAACATCTCAATAAATATATAGATTCCATAGTAGACATGGATCTGCTTGGCATAAATCCAAATTGATTATGAGAAATTTTTGTCATACGACTTAAACTATGTTCAATTACGCTCTCACATAATTATAAAGTATGACACATTAACTTAATCTCTATATAATTTGCACACTCTTGTGCATCCCTTTATTCTTAAAAATAAGATCAAAATACTCTTCCTCCACTCCTCGGGCATCTTTTTAGTTTTTAAAATAATATTAAAGAGTTTAGTAAGCCAAGGAACTCCCAAATCTCCTAAACATTTCCATATTTCAATTGGAATATCATCAGGTCCTAAGAACTTTCCACCCTTGGTTTTCTTTAAAACCTCCTCAACTTCTTTTTTTACTAATGCAACGATAAAAATGAAATTTTTATTATCATTGATGATATTAAGATCACTACGACCGATCATATTTTCAGAAGTTTCGTTAAAAAGTTTATCAAAATAACTCACCAACCTATGATGAATATCTTTTTTTAAGAAAAACACTTTTTGATTTTTCATCTTTAATGCACTTTACTTGGGTTAAATCTTTACTTTTCTTTTCACTTTGTTTGGCTAGTTTGTGCATATATTTTTCACCATCAGTATCTAATCAATCAAAAAGACCTAATATATCATAAAGCGTCACAGATTGTTCTTTTAGACTCCCTGCGAGCTGTTTGATATTTTTCTCAGTTCTCTAAGCTTAAATCAATTTTTATTAAATCAATTTTTATAACATAATTTATAACATAATTTCTTATATTTTATCTTTTCTTGAACATTATTATTCTACCACCAACTATTTTTATTTACATAAACTTTTTCTTTTGATTCTCCAAGCACCTCTTTTGATACTTGTTTAATAATATTTGTTACTTCATTCGTGAATATCCCAAAATTTGCTTCTTCGTGAATATCCCAAAATTTGAAATATTGAATTTTACAAATAAAAATAATTTTATTTGTGACTTTTAGGTTCCTCCATCTAATTCTAGATGATGAGTTCGATCATTCTTTGTTTTACAAATCTTCATCTTAAAATCTATAACTAATAATCGATGTTGGGTACCTAAATCTTCACTTGGAATGATCTTACAAACTTTACAATTTCGACGATCTCTTATTCTCATAAGAAAATAATCAATTTATGTTTTATTAGATCCATTCTTATAAGTAATAAGATGTCCATCTCTATGAGTTTAAGAAAAATCAAATGTGTTTAAAAAAATCAATTCTCACGCAAGCATGTACTTCTCACCATAATATTTTTTGTCTAATACTTCGTGAGACATTGGATCTGCCAAAACATCATGGCGATTTATATTTTCTTACTTACATCGAAATGAAGTTTTTTTTAACTATGTGAGCTTTTTCTTATCAGATGTAATGAATTATAACTCTTACACAACTTTACAGTTTTTCCCTTCATTTAATATCCTTACACTACATTTTAATCAATCTAGTTTCATATATGAACCAATATAAATAATTATAACCATTAATCGAGACAAATTTAAATAACCTCTTAAACTTCTCAAGGTTTAGAAATAAAAAAAAATATCAAGATGAGGTATTCGACCGAAGATCCTTGTTAGCAAACATGGGTTACGTTGTCTAAAAATTTGAAATTGAAAATTGCTAACAAAGGTCTTAGTGCCCCGTCAAGTGCACCTTACGATTAAGAACTCCGACACATAGACATAGCCATTGGAGCTCTTTTTAGCACTTTTTAGAAAGTGAAGTCAGCCAGACGACCAAGATCACTTGATGAATAAAGAATTCCAGAAAATTCTTTTTGAAAAGGGGGTCCATCAATAGGGAATGAACCTAATGTACGGATTAACCTCGCCACTTGTTTGAAGAATTTTATATTTTTAACATATTACATTAAAATAGTATGAATTTTAAAATTATAGCAAAATAAACCTAAAAATTAAAAGACAAACTTTAAAAGATTATAAAAAGCTAATT